TTTCGTCTCTCCAGTACAACCAGGACACCCTTTCGAACCTTCAAGACTCTACCTCCACCAGAAAATTTGTACCCTTTTGCATCCAAGGTACTCAATGATACGAGATTTTTTGTCAAGTCTGGAACATGACGAACCTGATCAAGTGTCCTCACTGTGCCATCTTGCAGCCTCAATTTGACCTGACCGATTCCTGCAACCCGGCAAGAGTGGTTGTTTCCCATGACAACTCCACCTTATTTCACCACCTCATATGTCTGGAATAACGCCCTATTAGGACACATATGATACGAACATGCAAAATCTAGAATCCACTCCTCAGGTTTAGATTCCCCATCAGATACAACCAACATCACATCTCCATCATTCCAAAAATTCTCAGTAATATTAGTCTCGTTCGAATTACCTGATTGCTCCGCATGATTTGCATGTAAATTACCTTTACCCTGCAACTTGTCGCAATCTTTCTTGATGTGTCATTTCTTCTTGTAGTAATAACAATACACATTACTGTACCTCACCTTCGATCTATCCCTCCATCGATCACCATGAGTAACAAGAGCATCTCCACCCATAGATGTAGGATCTCCAACCAACAGCTCTATCCTCTCCTTTGAGAACAGGGCTTCATATACCTCCTCAATGGTAAACGTGTCACGACTATATAGAATAGTATCACGAAACGACGAAAAAGAACTAGGTAGCAAACACAACAGGATCAAGGCCAGATTCTCCTCACCATATTTTACCTCTAACGTCTCCAAATCTGCAACAATTTCCTTGAACACAGCAAGCTGGTCTTGCAGTGACCCTTCTTCCGCCATGCGATGGGAATACATCTTCTGCTTTAGAGTCAATTTGCTCGTCAGACTCTTTATCATGCACAACTGCTCCAGCGTGAGCCACAAAGCAACCGTCGTCTTCTCCTTCAAGACATCCTGCAGTATATTGTTGGATAAATGAAGATGCATCAATGATGTAGCCTTCCTATCCTTTCATTGCTTCTCCTCCTTAGGCCAATTTGCTGGCATCTTCTCAAAGCCCAGCAAAGTATCATCAAGTTCCATCTGCGTCAACACAGCCCTCATCTTTACTTGCTACAGCGAAAACCTTGTATTGCGATCCAGCAGCGGAATATCATACTTCATCAAAGTCATCTCTGAAAACCTTAATCAAATCACGAAGAACTTGCAACCTTACTCTGATACCACTTGTTGGGATCGACAGGTTGTAAAGAATGAAGTTAATGATGCGATATAAAGTTAACATGGATTGCAACAATATAAAAATATATATCAATGTATAAAGTAAAGAAAAAAAAGAGGAATTAACGTAGAGGTAAGATGAATTATTAATTGACAATATGGAGAGAATACAACGCCACATCAATATTGGCTTCTACTAAACTAAAAGAGGATACCACTATTTATAGGTATATGGCATAGCATAGAGATGGAAATAATGTGAAATAAGAAAATAAAATATTTCTATAAAACTCACGTGAAATATAAGGAAACAAATTTTCCCATATAAAATTAAGGAAATAATTTATTTCAAAAAAAAAATCCACTCTAATTTGGATGAAAAAACCCAACACAAATTTCAAAAATAAGAGGTTTATTACAATTTATTTATTATTTTATTAATTAAATATATTAAAGTCACAAATTTATTCAATTTGGTCACAAATTTACAAATTTAGTCACATATTATTTTTTGATCACATATCAAAATTTTTATATGTCACAAATTATTTTACGATCACAATTAAAATTTTTTTTATAGGTCACATTGTTCATCGGTCACAAATCAAGAACATTATAAGTCACAACTTATTAGAAAGTCACAAATTATCAAAGTATCGGTCACAAATTAATATTTTTTTTACATTACACATTATTTCTTGGTCACGGTTCATCTCTTTCATTGGTCACATATTATTATGGATCACAGATTAACTAATTTAATGGTTACAGTTAACAAAATAATTTATGACTACCAACAACACTTGCGACTACCATCTCATTATTGCCTCCAGTGGCACCACCACCACTGTAATCGCCAAAACCACTACCACCAACTCACGACAATTGGTCACAAACCCCCAAATAGTCAGTCACAAACACTTTAATACTACGTCGCCACCACAACCGCAACCTGCAACCACCACACCACCATCGCCAACACTACCATCGCCATTGCAACCGCTGCACCAGTACCACCTTTATTTCCAAACCACCAAAACTGCCCCATATGTCCTATCTTCTGTTGGCCAGATCAAATCACCATAATTAAACCACCACCTCAACACCAACATCACAAAAACCATCACAACAACCACCAATTAGATTGTCACATAGCATATAGCTAGGAACTGAACACCGACAACATAGAGGTAAATAGAGCCAACATCAGTGAAAAAGAAAAAAGGGCTAGCTAGGCCTGAACAAACGACCCAATAGGAACATTACGACCTCCTCACCGCCAGCAGTACCACTGCCTTAGCCCACCATCACTGTAAAACTACCAGAACATGAAACCCACTACCATCCATCCAACAATTAAAAAAAAAAAAAAAAAAACCACCAACACAATCTTGGCCGCTATAGCCACGATCTGTGCCATCACCATCGCAATCTACGCCGCTACAGCCACTATCTGCAGTGTTTTTGATGATCTTGTCATTGCTAACGCGATTTTCAGTCAATAAATGCTTCACCGTCGGTGCTCATGACGAAGACGGTCTCCGATGGTAGTGGTACATATGAGAAAAAGTGTAGAGAGAGACAACGATCTAAAAGTGATGGTCTCCGACAATGGCGATGGTCCATTTGTGGGAGAGGGTAGAGAGATCTGTAGACGGATGGGATATAGAGAAAGAAAGGAGGGGAAAATTTTATTAGGGTTCGGGATGAAAATTGTATATTTAATATTTAAATATGAAATATTTGATTTGTGAAATGTGAAACTTCCCACTTGATTTTAGAATTCAGTTCTTTAAAAGTAAGCTGGGGTATAATTGCCTCATAAAAATGGGTGAACAAACCCAACATGTGCATGTTCTTCAAAATAGCCCACCCACAAGGACTATGCACGTTCGAACCTCATGTAAGAAAACTTTACCTCTCCATAAGTATTTTCAACGAAGAAAATTTTCCATTTAAGTCATCGCCAAAAAGAACATGCTTTATCATCCAAAAAGAATAATCAACATTTAAGCCTTGTTTGAAAAGTGATTTTTCCCTGAGCTCAATTTTAACCATATATTTTTTTAAAAGAAAAAAATTATTTTTTGTTTTTCTCTATAAGCTTTCTCTACTTTCTAATCTCGTATTTTCAAAATAATAATAATAATAATCTCGTATTCTCAAAAAAGAAAAAAAAAAATTCACTTTCAAAATGCAAAACCTAGCATACATTACTCTTAGGAGTCTTTGGAGGTAGCTATTTTTTTTTTTTTTTTTGTGAAAACATTGATTGCATACACGGAAAGCAAAAAACATTAAAAAGCTCGATGGCACACTCACATCATGGTTTTGTCCCATATAAAAGACCAATTTGATAAGATTTCTGTTTCCGCATCTTACTGAACCACTTCCTAAAAATCACATTCGGTCAGTTTACTCTAAAACCTCTCCTAGCCAAACAAAACATTTATGAAAAATTATCCAAACATGATGTTTAAAATTGGTGAATGTAAACTGAAAAGGATTTTGTATGATGGTCGGGTTCAAATGTGTTAGAGAATACAACATAAGTATGCTTAAAATTAGTGAATGCAGACTGAAAAGGATTTACTTTAGAGATATGACGAGCGTGCACAGAAAAGATATGAAATAGACTTTTCTATACCATCCTCAGAATGCGCCAAACGAGAATGTTGTGAAGTTGATGATATTGTACATTTTAACATCCTTCCTATACGCAACCCCACAACCCACTATTGTAAATGAAGCATTAATGCGAATTGTGGACTCTATGCACATGGACACGTTCCCATGGGGTAAGGAACAAATGACCAATCTAGGTTCTTATCGTAAATTTAATATTTAAAATCACTACATATAAATGGAGTTTATTGATTAATTCGACTACGACCGGATCTTCCGTTTTCTCACATGGCACACAGACAAAGACAGCTTGCAACTTAGTTTATTATATCCCTTCCTTCGACAACGTCCACACATGGTTGTCCCTCTCATTTTCTCACGTGGCACATAAACTTTGTGATTTTTCTTTGTGACCGTGTATGCAATATGAAATCCATTTTAAAAAACCTTCTAGAATTTGACCCTATTGCGTGATGATAAAGAGGCGACTAAGTATGATAATTTCACAAAATCGATTTCAGACACAAGAATGTATCACGTACAGGAATCGAGACATCAAGTAATTTTATATGTAGAATTAAAATGAATATTAATTCTTTGTGATATAATTATGATCTTAATAGTATTTTTCGCTTTTGGAATATGTATGTCGATTGAATTCAGAAGATTAATATGATTAGAATTCGGGTTTAAGATGCCGAAATGTTTTTGCATTAAAACCAACATGATATGAATGTCTCGCTCATCATGGGGTGCCATTTTTTCATTAAATTCTGTTATATGGAAGGTCAGTTAATGTAAGGACATGATATAAGAAGATTTAATTTTTCATCAATTACAAATTATGGTCTAGGATTTATTTTTGGCAGCTAGTATTTTAAATATTTTTAACCATCAATCTAGTATTTTTAGTTAATAATATATTCACATGATAGATGTGAATTAATATTTTTTATTGATGTATATATGAATTTTTCCGAAAAAACAACTTATAATTTGAGAAACACCAACAATCAGCCCACCATATGGGCCCAAAGCTTCTTGTATGGTTTGAATTCATTGATTGGTGAAATTATTCGTTGCCATCTACGAATCCCACCTCAAAATAAGTGATATTTACTTGATATAGTGGACCATTTATTTATACCATTTATTTATAAACCAGAGAAGAATTCCTATCAAACCATCACTACATCTGTACAATTTTAGAATTTATTCGGAAATAAGTTATCAATTCATAAGATACTCAAAATTATTAAAAGAAAAAAATAAACAAGAATGTACAGAGGTAGACTGGCGAGAAATCAAGTCAAGTCGACTCGTAGTAACAAAGGTTGTAACCAGATATGAGAGAGCTCATGGCAAAGGCGATAAAAGCCAGGAATGACATCGCGATAGAAACACTGGCCATCAATGTGAACTCGTCTTTCCCCCAGTTAGACATCCAGTCGTCCACCCTCGTAGCTGCTGAAGATGATGCTGACATTAGCAGATAAGCCAGAATCTGTTCGACACGTATAAAACCAAAAAAATCCTTTTCAGTAGAGCATCAGAAAATGAGTTAAATTCGTGCTTGTGTATTAAGGCCTTTCAGTAACCATAACAACCCAGACCATCTAGTGCAAGTCCATAGTACCATTACGTTCAAAGCAAGAAGCCCTCCTCCCCATTCCCCAATCTTTAATCTCCACTCACCCCCAAAACCAACCAAAAGAGGTTGCCCCCCGGGCAGGTTTTCATTGTTTCATGAAGAATTATTTAGCCCCTGTTTGGTCCCCATTTTTCTTAAATACTCATTTTTCCTAAAAATTATTTTAAACCACACATTTTATAAGACCAACAACTTTTATCAAATTTTCAATCACAAATTTCATCAACTTTTATCAAAATTTACAAAGCCCCTATCTGGGATTTATTTTTTCAAAACTCATTTTCAACCACACATTCCTCCTATAAAATAATGTTACACGTAAACTCAGAACATTTCTTATTTTTTAACCACACATTCTCTAAGAAAATTACTATTTCAAAACACGTTTCCCTCCAAATCTCATTTTAATGGAGTCCAAATAGGGGCTAAATATATAATTTTTAGCTAAACCAAACGGAGGCTTATTTTATTAAATTAATTCCTCAAAACATTGAACTAAGATTTCGTTCAAACCAAGTTTTGGGCCGAGCTTGTTCTTTTGTTTAAGATATATACCTCATGGCCTAGGAACACAAGTACTGAACCTACGGAAATTTGACGCTTAGTTGACTGACTGCAAAAAATATAATGACCATATGCTGCCCAAGCTTATGACACTACACATGATTTCTGTCACAGAAAATACAATTTCATGCTTGATCACATTGGGCAAAAGAAACATGAAAAGGAAGAAGAAAGTAAAATTACTTGCCTGATCCATTGAGAAATCAAAATGGAAACGCAGATGGTGAGAGACTGCATGTTTTCCCGTGGCCAAATGGTAGGCTAGATCACATGCTTGAAATCCAGAATATACGAATCCAATAACATTCATGGTTAAACAGTACCTATGCCACAAAAAATATTACATCAACTGTTTTGAAGAATTGATCAAAAGAAAAAGGAAATAACAAGGATATGGACCTTAATTTCATTTCAAATCCTGGTTACCTGATATTCTGGTATTAAAGATCAGAAACATAAGTGACACATATTTGCATGTATCAATCAAAATTAGACTATGCCCTTCTACTTTTAAATAAGAAACTGGAAATAATGAATAAATCCCTTCCAAATACACGTAGCTTGACATGATATGCACCTAGATAACCACATAAGCACACTTAAACTGCGCCAAGTTCTTTAGCATTCAGTCAAATGCAAGTGATACTAAAAACCAAATTTTCAACATAGAACACTGGGTCTCACAACATTAGACATGCAAGAATTTTTTTGAGGAAAAGTATATCCTGTTAAGTGGCTACTAGAAAAGCATTTTTATGATAAATAGAGTTGATGTTGATAAATCTGAAAATGAAGAGCATATGTCATTTGCTTGCTAGATATTCATATGTGCGTGCATATATATTATATATGGTCGTCAGGGAAAGACAATTAGGAGAAAATTTATTCATCACGCGTATTAAATAATTATCAGAGATTCAGTTCCAATCGTAAAGGATTAAGGCACATATGATTTATTCAAGATTCTATAATTCTAACAGTAGAAAAGGAAATAATATTCTTCTTCACGAAAGGATGAAATATATTTTCCATAAATTAATTCTAGACGAGAATGTAGCCAACTAATAGCAACATACACAGGAAGTAGATTGGGTTTTGTGTTCTTCCTTATTGTTCCTATAATTTTCTTTTATATGTTCCAACCTAGCTTAAAGAGAAACTTTATTGGACATATTCATGGTCTTACAAGATCCTCTTCAACTAAATGACAGAAATTATTACTATTTTGCTCCTACGTATTGTTAAACCTCAGTAAGTGTCAATACAGATTAAACCAGCCATAAGCAAATATAACCCAGACACACAGTAAAACCATAAATGAAGCATGCCTAGAGAAGCTATAAACCTTGACATAAAAATTATTACACATGGAAATCAAATAAAGACATACATATCAGATAAATCACCTACTTACTGAACACAGGCTACTTTTTCTTCTTCGTTAGCGAACACTATTTGGAACAGAAAGATTGCGATGGTAATGAATTATTTTTGGCTCAAAATCGAGTTAGGATTCTTCCTTCGTTGCTTTCCATGTAATTGGCAATCATATTGAAGAATATTAGCAATAAAGGATTTCAAAGTAAATTACAATTCAACTACTAATTAGATATATCATATACTATCAACATTCCAACCTCAAAACTCAAGAACCATGAAATATAATCAATTTACTAACCAAGGAATCTCAAATATGATTGTGCGCGAGCACAAACACACACGTGTCTATAGCTTCAGTACAACGAAAGATATATAAATAGGAGAATGGATACTACACTCGGAACTCAACAGGGTAAAAAAACAAAAGTTGAATATTATAATAAAAAAGAGAGTGGCCGGATAATGCTCTAGTATTTCTAACTGGAGAGGGCAAAAGATTATGCTACCTAGTTTCTGAATAAACTACAGCACTTACTAATTATTATCCCAAGTAACCTGAAATTCTTCTTCTGTTAATGATCTCTTGAGGTTAAATTACAGTTATTCAAGTCCGAAATTCCATAAGAATCTCAACAAATAAACTTAATTCTCCTTCAAAAGCTACTGTATATAGCTAAACACTGTCTACAGATAATCAAACATCAATTTCAGAAATCATACAATTAGAAACCAATAAAAGGCTCACCCCTCACCCCAAACCACCATTAGAAGAAAAACTGAGATCATCGACAGACAAATTTTTCCAACATCTATTAGACTCCATGGTAACTCAACAGGTAATGGCGTTATATTGACAGTCATTCTGGAAAGTTAATGACAAAATAACAGTGTTTTGTTGGCAGTTCATAATCCACCCATAGGACTCCAAACAATGTCGTTTGGGGTACATCAGAAATCAGTTCCGACTCGCCAGGTGCTGGATCTACCCCTGACTAGAGGTACTAGGAATTCAATGTGTTTGCCTTCAAATATATGCTTAAAAGAACCTCAACCCCAACAGAAGGAATTGGGCTTGGAAGAAGCTTGTTTACTAAAAGAATATATTGAACAACGCGACTCGACTGCAATCACAAGGAGGCACTAAGGGTTGATTGAGTTTATTCACATAGAAAATATGTTGAACAATGCCATGTGCCCCAGTTGGGTGGAAATATTAGGGCTCTAGTTTGTTTATTCATTTAAAAAACATGTTGTATAAGGCAACACAACCACAAACAGGTAGAGATACTAATGGTCAAATAAATTTTTTTACTTCAACATTGTGATCCACAAACTTGACTTATGCTAATACTGGTAACTAGGGATTGCGCGGGCATTTAGTTAAGAAATATGCTGAGCCAGACTACTCAATCCCATTTGAGTTGTAAGAAATGAGGTTAAGCTGATTTGTTCAATTTTATTAATTTTTCTAAAAATATTGTGCATTTTTGCATACCAATGGAATAATAATGTTATAAAATAACTATAATTTAAAATTAAAAAAAAAAAAAAAAAAAAGATAGGTAGACTTATCCAACAATTTATGGATGGATTTGCCAACAGAAATCCTTCGTTGTTAAACTTACACATGCAAACTTGCCTTAGGTTGGAATAATATTTGTACGTGGCTTTCACGGACAGCATTGGTAGATGAAATTAATGGCAGATGTTTCTAAATTACCAATACATTCCGTATGTTGATAAATAACAGTTTTCTTGTTCCCAACCCCAAGAGAGCCACCACATTCAGCAGCCAGGACCGCTCCATTAAATGGCAGATTTGTTTACTAAAAAGTGCAAAATCTTATAGAAACAAGCCTTCTGCAGTACATTGTAATGTCAAGTTAATATCTCATTCAAACACACTAAGCAATTACTTTTAGGCTTTAGCATATCAATATCATAATTTTCAGCAAAATATGCAAGCATTTACTCTAATCAGCAAGTATAGCAACTCAATCATTGATCAGTGAATTGATTACACGTAGCAGCAAGGTTTATAAATAAAAATGCACATACCGTCAAAACCACAAAACAACAATTATAACTCATAACTCAATGACTCGTACAACATAAATTATTTATCCCAACCACAGATTCACAATTCTCATTTTAATATATCACTTCAAATGCTCTAAGCCCCAAAGCCGCCCTTTTCAAATTCACTTCCCTTCTCGAACTCATCCATGTTGATCCCACCGACCTCGGTCGCCTCTCTCTGCCCACCTCCTCTGCACGACGGCCATAACCCTTCTCCATCCCACTATCACCTCCCACTTGCCCCACCTTAGTCACACCCGGCGCCGAATCCTCCTTCACCGACCTGTTATAAACCATCACCGGCGACGTCCCAAGCCCATCCTTAGCCTGAAAATCAAAATTCTCAGACTGCGGCAGATACGGTCCCTGACCCTTCCCAGTCCAACCGTTAACCACAGGCATCGACGACAAATCAAGATTCTCCGACGTGGGCTTTTCAGAATGAGGCCATGATTTCCGTTCCTTGCCCCCAGCAACAGGAGAAACCGCCTTTAAATTGGGATTTCCCGGCGATGGAACCACATAGTAGTATTTATCCACAGCTTCAGAGCTTTTGCTATTCTTGTTACTAAAACTGACCTTTCCTGTTTGAAAACTTGGATCATCAGAGCGCAGGGGTGAGTCAGAACGGAGTGGAGAGTGGAAAGAATCCACCTGACTCGACGTTGACTCAGTGTCGGATATTGATAAGTGGCCGTTGCTGCTTTTTCTCCGAATTTTCTTGTTATGCTTACTGGGGTCTGGCTTTTCCATAATGGGAAAAAATTATTGCTCCGTTCTTTGAAATTGGAGAAGAGTTGAATTGATAGGAAGTCAGAAGAAGAAGAAGAAGAATTTAGATAGTAAGGCGGCTCATACAGACTCTCCAATAATTCTTTACGTGGCATGATTAACGTTCGATACGACGTCGTGAATCCGTTTCTACAATCTTCTCTTTGGGGTTTTTTTAGAGGTGTTTGGTGGGGGATTTCAAGGAATGTTTGATAGATATTTTTATATAAAAATGTATTTTAGAATAGTAAATTGATGTAAAATATGTGGTTGAAAAATAAGAAAAAGTATTTGATTTACGTGTAATATTATTTTAATAAAGAATGTGTGGTTAAAAAGAAAAGAGAGAGAAATGCATTTTGAAAAAAATAGCTACCAAATTAAGTCAATTAAAATCAATTTTTTGATCGTTATTTCATTATATCAACCGTTATTTTTTAAAATTCCTAAAATAGCATCCGAATGTATTTCGATATGATTATACGAAAAGATTTATATATTTAAAAGTTAGTAGAAGGCCCGAGGGATTTTATTGCCAAATATTAACTAAATTATAACTTCACACATGATTGAAACTTTACTTATGACATAAATCTAAACGTAGAAAGAAAAATTCCAAATAATAATTTTGAAATCATAATAAAAAGTAATTAGTTTAAAGCAATGTAATAAATAGAATTAGTCTAAAATTGAAATAGCATCTTACCATATAATTTAAGTGCCGAAATATTGGCCAAATATTTTGGATCCTTTTAGTTTGTATTTCAATTTTAAATTTTGAATTCATTTTCATTTTTTTAGTGTCTATTATAAAATTACTATAAACGAGTTTGATTTATCATTTTAAAAAATCGTTTCTTGAAAAAAAAAAAAAAACACATTTGGTTTGAAATTTTGAAATTATTTTATGATATATTATTCCATAAATTTTGATTATTTAGTAAAACAAAATAATTTTATGTTATTATATTAATCAATTTCAGATTATATCCTTCCCTAATACACCAAAACATTATAATTCAAAAAAAATAAAAATAAAACAGAGCACAATTCTGCATGACTACATACTATCAAAATGCCTCCTCTCACCCGAAGAAGTCAAGAAACTAGAGAAACCCTCAAAGAAAGATCTGAACAATCCGGCAGCAAGAATCCTATACGACTCGGTAAACTTGGCTCATTCAGGTAGTTTCAAACGATTGAAGAGCACGAGAAAACTTTGCTCGGGAACAACGTAAAGAAAACCGAGGTCCGCACCTTTGACATAGGGGCCCATACCCTACATATATCCACAATAGCATAGTAGTGGAAGCACTTGAATAACTCCAATGAATATCAAAAGAATAATATTATCTAACACTAGTGGTGCTATGACATCAGTATATGTGACATTATATGATAGGTTCAATTAATGATGAAATTGTGTAATTCATTTAATTGCCTCTTTCATTTAGTGCCACCAATACTGGTACTGTAACACAAGTAGTGCTAAATATCATTACTCATGTCAAAAACACATATCAAGGCACGTACCCTGCCGTTGAGTTGTAGAAGTTCACCCTCGACCCACTTTGGATTCCGGAACCCAAATTCTGCAATCCTTCCTTGACCTCTGTAACTTGCAACCTGGAAAATGCAAGTTCGTTGTAAGAAACTCTCATGGTAAGACAGCATAAGCCCCAAATATGAGTTCTACTCACATGGTAAGAAACGCCACAACTGTGAGTTCTACTCACATGGTAAGACAGCATAAACCTAGAAGCATTTATGGTGCAATATGATGGCAAGAAGTCTAGCTTAGAAGCTAATATCTTTTCGATTCTAAAATATGGTCTAATATAGGATGCCAAATTACGCACATTGCATAAAGTGTCAATCCATAAAATCCCATCCATCATCATATTGTAATTAAGACCACATATCTCAAATTCATCGAAGAAATAGCTGACTCCACGATTTTCTTTGGTAATAAGGTATCTAACATGGTTTTAGATCAGAGGCTACTAGGAAGTTTCTTGCAAGATGCCAGGGAAGGGAACGCAGAGGATAGCTCATTCTTTCCCATTAAAAGTTTGTCTTTTTTTCACTGAAAAAAGGAAGACGGCATATCTCAATGGAAAATCACGTTTTTTACAGTTGCAAGACCTATTACCACAAGAGAGATGTTGAGTTTTATCCCAAAGGAAAATGAAGAAGGCATCTACGCTCCACACAAAGATTTGAGAGGCAAGGAAGAAAAAGTTAATATTGTGGATTACATTGTTATATTATAAAAGGAATTCAAAACAATATTGAGAGAGAAAAATGAAGGATACGACTCATCAGCACCAAAACTAGAAAGCGCACACATGCATATAAAAAATTGAACATGGGGAGAGAGAGAGAGAGAGACTGCATACCACTCCTAGTTCATCTGGGTACATTCCTCGATTGGTGACACGACTACCTTTTCCAAGTTTGGCACGAAATGTTACCTGAAGGTAATTACGGAAAGTAGAATTAGTATGAATTCAATTAGTTATGCACATAAGTAATAAACCATCATCTAGAAACCTGGCCAGCGGGAACATTTAAATCTCCTGTCAGCTTGACCGCCTCAACATATTCAAAGAAGTCCATGTCAGAAGTTTCTTCTTCATTATTCATATTCCAGTTACCACACTTGCGCCTCAATTGCACTACCTCAGTACCATAAGGGCCAAATGCACCAACATATAGGCCTACACTAACAAGAATAGGTTAAATAAGAAAATAAGTGAAATTTGTTTAAACTCCTTGTACGTGCAATAGGTCGGAGAGAGAGAGAGAGGTAACTTACCATCGAAGGGATCTAAATCACCTTTGCTGGTAGTAATTCGACTAAAAGTTGTATATTCAGATAACCTATTCCGCTTCTGTGCCTGATTCACTGCAAGCTTCACTATTTCTCGCACGTCTCTGGAAATCTATGATAATAAAATGATTAAAAAAACATGGACAACAAAGAGAAAAGAGAGTACAAAAAGCCACAAGAAGTATGAGCCATCTGAAAAAAGATTCATCATTAAGGAACCAACCCTCATATGAAATATGTTTGTGTCCAGGAAAATTTAAAATTCTCAATTTCGAGAAATTTGTAATATAATAACTGTGAAATGAAAATTGAGATCAGATTCTCTGATGACAAGAAGTAGACCATAAAAACCCATGAGGTGTCTGCTTAGACTAAGATCAGGATTTTAGAAAAGCAAAAAAGAAAGAAAATAAAATAAAATGTATCTTTTTGGGCTAGATGGCAGAATAATTTTTACAATGTTGTCTTGCTATGAAAACAGGAAAAGAAATAGAAATCAGATTCAATGGTGCCTCAAGATGATTGCTTGTCTCCCTGCAGTATTCATGAGCCACATTCATACCAACAGTAACATGCACAAATGTTTTTCAAAAATATTTCCATTATTAATTTCTTCATACTGTGGACTGCACATATACTTTTCGATCCATACCTTTGAAGAAACTTTATCAGAACTCCAGAATGCCTTGGCCACAGCAGGGGGCATCAGCTCAGAAACACCTTGGGCAGCTATAACAGCCACCTTGGCCTTCGATGCTATGTTCTCTTCAGTATCATGATCTTGATATCTCTTTGGGATATGCAACACAAAAGAATCCCTCTCCATATCCTTGATATCAGCTGGAACACGAACGTAATCATCCTTGGTTGGAGCATCTTCTTTATTATGTAAAACCCCACCAATAAAAAGCTTCATATCTAAATCTGTTTCATCTTTCATTGTGTCACTTTCTCCTTGGACGGCTGCCCGATCCAGCTGATTGTCATCCAAATCACTAGCTTCCTCTTCAGTATTCTCGCTGGTAATAGTATTCTCACTTTCTTCGTCTATAATGTGCTTCAAAGAATCACCGTCTTCTGTTATTTCTTCATTAACATTAACATTCATCACTTTAACCTTTAGGTTGGGAATTTTTTCTTTGAGAAAATTTATCACGCTTTTTATTCCTTCTTCAGCAGCTTCTTCCAAATCAGTGCTCTTTCCCTCACCTTTTCTGGCTTCATTTTCTTCCACTTGAACATCAACTATAGATGCATTCTCAATCTCAGCAGCTGATGGCCCCTTTGAGGATTTATTAGATGATGATGAACTTGAACTTCCCTTGATTCTTTGTAGAAATACTACCTGTAAGGCTGCTTTATATCAGAAGTTTGAAGGACAGAGAGTATTCTCAATGGACTGAAAGAATGGATGATTGTTTACCCAAAAGCACAAAAGAAGGCTATAAGTAGACTTCTAGAAGGGAAATATCTCAGTGCTCATTACAGGACCTTTAGGAAAAGTGAGTATCAACTCAAAGCAAGCTCAATAATCATTGCACAACAATTATAATACGTAAACTGCAGATCCAGTAGTTTCGATGCCCAGAAAATAGACCACTTTTATCCCACAACAGGACTATTTAAAATCTCAACTTCCAGAGAATGGAAACTAAGAGACTGTAGAACACATCATGACATCAATGTTTTTTTTTTTTTAATAGGTAATCAGATAATTTTATTACTTAAAAGAGAATACACGGGGAGTGTACAATCACTTTAAGCCATTAAGAAACAACATGAAATTAGGTAATCCATCTACTAGATTTCTAGCCACAACATTAAACCAAGAATACAAGGTAAAGTAAAATGTTTCTCTTATCTGTTCTCTTGTCTTTGTTTGGTCTTCGAAACAATAGTTGTTCTTTTCTTTCCACACGCACCATACAATGTAGCTCGGAATAAGGTGCCATGCTAGTTTGCTATCCTTATCACGAAGTTTTCTCCGTCATGCCCTTATCTTTGGTGCTCGGACTCAGGTACGGGTATCGGGTACGGGTACGTATCAAAGCGTCGGATCTTTTATTTTCTAAAATGTGGGATACAGGGACATGGCTAAAAAGAGTCCAAATTTAGGATACGGGTACGTGGGAACGTTTTTCAAACTTCAATTTTATTTTTTAGATTTTTTTTTATATTGTCGTATTTTTTGAATTAAAAATGATGAATTGAATTTTTTTTTAAAAAAATGATTAATTTTATTGTTTGAATATTTTATTAAACTAGAATATGTTTGGTGTAAAAATAATTACATTATTAGCCCACTCATATCCATTTCCCAAACTCGAATTAAATCCATCCATATCCAATATCAATATTATTAGCCCAATAAAAATGGTCCAAACCCAATTAAATCCATCCACATCCATATTATTAACCAAACCCACCTCCATATTATTAGCCCCAATAAAAATGGCCCAACTCCAATTAAACCTAAGTCTCTTCTTTCATTCCTATCTCCTCGTCTTCCATCTCCCTTCTTCTCTTTCACGATTGTAGGGTTCCATCAGAAGACATCCAACAGATTTTGGACCAAAGATCGCCGGCGCTAACCCGCTATTTCTTTACATATCTTCCATCTCCAGCCAATAAGGTAAATTTTCATTTTTTCTTAAGATTTCTGCCGAGTCCGATTGAAATTGGAAGAATCGGACCCGTATTTCGTACCGGTACCCGTGTCGTGTCGTGTTGTGTCGACACGAGTACTCCGGCCAAAATGAAGAGTCCGAGCATCACAGGCCCTTATCACGTCCTCTATATGACGAGGCATCACCCAATCCACAGATTGACAACTAAGTATACTGTTCCAAATCCAACGTACACCATCACAATGAATGAACAAATGATCGATCGTCTCCCCATCCTTCTTGCACATATAACACCACTCGGTAACGTAGAAGCCTTTACCTCGAAGATTATCCTCCGTTGAGACCTGTCCCCTCACAACTGTCCACAATAAGAATGTCATCCGATGAGGCAATTTACACTGCCACACCAACTTCCAGGGTAATGAATTATTCACACATCCCATGAGAGAACCAAAGTACGAGCGAAACTGAAAAAATGTCATCCCGTGCTGTCCTCCACCTGATGCAATCCCTCTCTCCAATTCGAATTTGTGCCTCATGTAAAAAGGTCATAAACAGCGAATAATCTTCCAATTCCCAATCCTGTAGATCCCTCCCAAAAGTAATATTCCAGCTATAGCTCCCATTATGAATGTCTAAGAAATCACTCACCATAGCAGTGGGCACTAAGGCAATGCGATGCAAGGAAGGAAATCTCTCATTCAGCGGTTGATCTCCGTACCAACAATCATCCCAAAATCTAATCTCATTATCATTTCCAACCACAAACTTCAGTTTGTCCAAAAAAGCACTCCATCCCCGTCGGATATACCTCCACAAACTCACCCCATAAGAACCACGATCCTCAAGTGTACACCATCCCCCCTCCGTCACACCATACTTCGCCCTAATTATTTCTCTCCAGAAACTTTCCGTCTCCACTCCAAATCGCCACAACCACTTGCCTAATAAGGCCTTATTGAACAACACAAGGCTCCTCACCCCAAGACCCCCCATCCTCATCAGCAAACAAATAAGTCCCCAATTGACCAAATGGAGTCTCCTCTCCTCCCCCAACCCTGCCCACAAAAATTCTCTTTGAAGTCTCTCTAATCTCTTTGCCACTGCAATCGGAATGGGGAACAATGACAAAAAGTAAGTAGGGAGATTGGAGAGAGTGGATTTAATGAAAGTAAGTCTACCTCCCTTAGAAAGGTACATACGCTTCCACCCTACTAACCTTCTCTCCATCCTTTCCATAATACCATTCCAAATATGGGTACATTTAAATCGTGCCCCTAGCGGGAGCCCTAGATATGACATCGACAACTGCGCAACCTTACAACCCAATATATCAGCCAGCTCCTCCACATTATCGACCTCCCCTACTGGAATAGCCTCAGACTTCCTCAAATTGATTTTCAAACCAGACACCACTTCAAAGCATAGGAGCAAACGGCGCAAGTTCCTGAATCGTTCAACATCTGCATCACATAAGATCAACGTGTCATCTGCAAATAACAGATGGGACACTTGCAATTGGTCAACCAGAAAACCCATTATCAAACCCGATCTCACAGCTCTTTCAATCATCCTACTGAAAGTCTCCATCACAATGACAAATAACAATGGGGACAATTGATCCCCTTGTCTCAAGCCTCTACTGCTCCGGAAATAACCCTCAGGTGTTCCGTTGACCAAAATTGAGAATGAAACAGTAGAAATACAGAATTGAATCCATTTACACCATTTATCCCCAAAGCCACAGCGCCTAAGCATATACAGCAGGAATCCCCAATTTACATGATCATAAGCCTTCTGAATATCTAGCTTACAAAGCATCCTTAGGGCCCTTAGACACATTCTTGAATCTATGCATTCATTCGCTATAAGCACAGAGTTCAAAATCTGACGCCCTTTTATAAATGTATTCTGAAACTTGGACACTACTTTTCCCAGCACCTCCTTTAATCTATTTGCCGGGACTTTCACAATAATCTTATACACCCCATTGACAAGACTGATGGAGTGAAAGTCCTTAATTTGAGTCGCTCCCGATTTCTTAGGGATGAGCACAATAAATGTAACGTTAAAACTTCTCTGGAATCTGGTAGGTTCAAAAAAATAAGATAAAGTATTCACAATATCCGGTCGAACCACATCCCAGCACGCCTTGTAGAATGAGAACGAGAAACCGTCCGGTCCCAAAGCCTTATCATCGTTCATGCTAAACACTACCTCCTTAATTTCATCCTCCCCAAATGGTCTCTCCATCCATCGGGCATCATCCTCCGTAATAGTAGAAAAGTGCAACCCCTCCAATTCTGGCCTCCATTCAAATTGCTCCCGATAGAGGTTCTAATAAAAATTCACCAATTGGCTTCCAATTTCTTGCGGTTCCTCATAAGTAACCTCGTAAACCTCCAAAATTATGATGGAGTTGTTCCTCTTATTAGAATTGGCGACCCCGTGGAAGAACTTAGTGCATTTATCCCCCTCTTTCAACCAAGTAATTCTAGATTTCTGTCGCCAAGTAATCTCCTCCATCTCCACCAACCTCTCCATCTCTTTCTTTAATACTCTATGTCTCTCCTTCTCCTCCCCAGCCAACCCTTGACGCTCCTCCAGCCTATCCAACTCTTCAATCTCTGACAGACACTAATTTTTACTACAGTTAACATTGTCCACAACTTCCTCATTTCATTTCTTTAAGTCCCCTTTCAACGCCTTTAGCTTCTGATCCAATACAAAACAGGGAGACCTACTGACTTCATAGGAAGTCCACCACGTCTGTACTTGCTCCCTAAAATCTTCTACTTTCAACCACACTTCTCAAACCTGAAAGGTCTTCTTCCAGCACCCCTCCTATTCCCCGATAATATAATAGAAAAATGATCCGAGTACACCCTCCCCAATCTTCTCTGAGTGACATCTGAATATTTGGACTCACACTCCCCACAAATCAAGAACCTATCAATACGAGACAAGACGGGTCGATCTCGATTAGATGACCAGGTAAAATCTCCCCCCAATCATGGGTAAATCCACCAACAAATTCTTCCTAATAAAATCTGAGAACTCCCCCATTGCCCTAGTTAGTCTCCCCCTACTCGACCTCTCCGAAGGAAATCGAATCACATTGAAATCACCCCCAATACATGTAGGGAGATTCCACCAAGCCCTCATTTCAGCCAGTTCATCCCACAAGTCCACTCTACTGTCATCAGAATTAGGCCCATAAACTCTTGTGTACATCCACCGAAATCCATCCTCGCAATTTTTGAAAGAAATTGATATAGAGAACACCCCTATACTCACCTCCTTCATCTCAAGCACTCTAGTGTCCCACATCACCAACACGCCTCCTGAAACCCCTGATGACCCCAAAAACTGATATCCTACATGATTCCTCCCCCTCATAAAATACGAATCACCGCCCTCGAGATAAACTCCATCTTAGTTTCTTGTAGGCAAACAAGATTTGCCCCTCATCCCCTTAGCAAATGTCGAACACCAAGCCTTTTACTAACCTCATTGAGCCCCCTTACGTTCCAGCTAATGAGTTTTGGCGTCATTATAACACTCCGTAACCCCTCCCAATTTTTCCTTTCTTGGACTCGCCACCCTTACCAGCATAGTTTACTAACCATTCGAACCTCTTAAGTTCGCGATCATCCTTTCTTCTTAATTTACTTCTATGTGTACTGATGTCTTGTTCCCTATTAGCCTCCAACTCCTCAAATAATTGTAACAATCTACTTTCACACCCATCACATGACACGCCAACCAACTTACTGAATTCCTGAATTTTTTGTAGAACCCAGTTTGAAGGTGGGCGACCAACTTCTAACACATCAGCTTCTGAAATATCCTCACCGTGATAGCCCTCAAGATGATCAAAGGACCGTTCTTTCTCTTCCACCACTGGTATAATGTCACTGTCGCTTTCTCCTTTCTTGGCACCATCTACCCACAACACCAAAGCTTTTTCGGTCCCCATATTATTTTCTTTTGTCCTATTATAAATGTTCGTAATCCTTGATGTCGAATGTGTAGCGTTGTTTTCTTTCACAGCGTCCATTGTCAATGTCTCCAAGTTCACCATACTCAACTCTCCTTCCTTAGACAGCGGTTCCACCTCTCTTTCAACTGCAATCCCCGTGTCTACTTCATTCCGGTTGACCCCTACAAAGTCAACCCCGTCATCGTTTTTATGGTACCCCGCTTCCATCCTCTCGTGAGAATCACAATGTTCATCTCTTCCCTGCTTTTCATGTTCTGTAATTGATGGTAATTCCTCATGAGTCAATCCCGGTATGTGTATTTCACCGGTTTGATCCTCATCCAACTCAACCCCACACTTGTGACAGCGTACCAATTTCATGGGGTCCATTTCAAGCCTGCTTCCAACCAGCCTAAGTAATTCATCCAATGCTCCTTTCAACTTCTGGGCACGGGCCATTAAATGTCGTGACCTTCGTTATCATCGACTTTATTTGTCCTTTCCTTTTGTTGTAGCATCCGTTGGTTGGCATGCTCTGAGATCTGTGAGTTTGCTGTAATTTCTGCATAAGTCATCCTTTGTCTGTTTCGTTCATTTACCGTTTCTCGTTTGGCCTTATCTCTAGCAACAAATGAGTCAACAACTGCTTGAAACACCTGCGAGACCGATGCCCATCCCTCTCCATTTGCACCTTCTGGTGTCATGACAATTCCTTTCCGACGCCTCTCCCCATATTGTGCTATCATCAAATATCTACCTCAACGATTCACACACCGTTGTGCCAAGAAAGCTCTTGAAAACTCGTTGAATTTAAAGACACAGTCCTCAAATTCACTTCTCATCTTCAATCTGTCTACCATATTCACCATCCAAATAGCACTATACATTTCCATAAAGATTGAATCCGATAACTTCTAACCCCATTGTGTCAACTTAACAGTGCCGGAATCGCTAATAGATACTGCGAAGTCCTTCTCCTCCACTTTGAAATGATAATTGAATACCATACTACGCACATCCGCCAATTTTTTCCCTTGATTGTGTACAAGCTGTTCATCAAATGGAGGAACGGACAAGTGGATTGATCTCGGAACAGCAGGCTGCCACTGCAAGTTTTACGGCGGCGGCACATGGGCTACATGCGCCGACAGACACGCGGCCGGAGCGGCGCGTGTGGGGGGCAGAACTTCGGCCGGGGTCGCCGGTCTCTGCTGAGGCCTCCGGTGAGGCGCGTTTCCTCGAAACGTGGCTGGATCTAGCGGAATCTTCTGGGAGGCGCTAGGGTTTCCCGACGCCTGTGTGTGAAGGACGTGGTTGGAGGGGCTGATTTGTGACGTGAGGCCAGTTATGTGGTTCCTACCGGACAGTTGGTCGCCGGCGCCGGTAGGCATGGGTGTTGGCTAGGTTGGGTGGTGGTGTGGTGGCTGGGTTAATTTGGATTGTGGGGGGAGCTCCATCCGGTGTCAAGTTGATTATTTCACAAACCTTTCTGGTGGCAATGCAAAACCAAAAAGAATGGAACGATTCAGATCTTCCGTGGGGATTGAGATTACATCTCGTCTTCTTAAGGTGTGTGTGTCTTTCTTTCGTGCTTTTTTTTTTTCACTGGACCATTTGTGGTATCAGAGCCTAATAGACTTGTGGCACGTTCATTTTCCTACACAGTCAGAATATTCTCTTCCATTGATGAATTGAATATTGAGAAGCCAAAACAAAGAGAGAGAGAGAAAAAAAAAAATCCACACCAAAGACAACGAGTTAAGAAAGTAGTGGCTGATGACAGCAAAAGCTCTTTGATTTATTTTTGGAATGAATGATTCAAACAAGTTTATGTTTGTAAAATTTATTCACTTTGTCACCACTAATAATTGCCGAATACAGAAACGTAATTTTTTTGTGTAATGCATGGCCTAATACTGTGACAAGGTCCTTATATTAAGCCAAGGTTTTACGGCAAGATAAAGTATTAAGGACCTCTTATTGTGGTCCACTCATGGAATTCAGACATTTAATATCATGCATAATCTGTTATTCCCAATAAGACGGCTCGGTAACAAACCGCTTCTACCAAAGCGCCCTTCATCCGTTCCGCTCGCAACAATCCAATTAATTCTCTGGGTGAAAAGACATTAGACATTCCCCATAAAGATCATGCAAGATAAATTAAATGCATTGGCAGAGAGCACATTTGCACTTGGAGATTTCAAGATTGGTCCACATAAAGATCATTCCTTCTCAGAGATATTGTCTCCATTAATAGGTAATGAAACGATAGGAAGTAAGCTTTGTTATGTCCATGAGCTGATTAGGTTTGATCAAGGTCTGGATAAAATGATCTGGTTATAAAAATCAGAAACTGCTAATCAAATAAGTCTTCAACAGAAAACATTTACAGCTTATTCAGATAACAATTTCTTAGATTCTGGGAAAAAAAAGTAATAAAAGAAACCACTCTAACATCATTTACGTGTTACATTTTGTTTGCAGATATAAATTATTTACAATTCTAAAAATCTCAAAAAAGAAACACTTCAACATCACCTGCATGTTATATGCCTCGTTTGCATCCTTAACCACAAATATTTCAAAAAGCGGAGTTCCAGGAGATGAAGTCACCAACTGTCTGCGATCACCACCAATTACGAGTGTCTTTTAGTAGCTAATAACTTTATGAAGATCAAGAGCAACAGACTCATATTTTTCTGTTCTATATTCTTTTTGTTGTTATTACCTTGGACTGTAACTTCTACCCACAAATCTGCCCACTCCTGGAGTAATTCGTATTAATCTACCAAAAGGATCAGAATCCTTCGAAAAGCCCACCCACCAACCAACCTGCATAAAGGTAATGAATATTAATGACATAACACAAAATTTACAAATGAAACTGAATTTTTTGTCATAGCATGGCAATGACACAGCAAAGAATAACTACTGCAACGAAGAGCTTCTACAATTTTCTCACATCTGTGCCCTAGAAGCATAGAGTAACAATGTGTCAGTCTTTCCTTGCATGTTCTCCATTTTTCTCATATGATCTCTCTTTACACAGTGACAAAATATTATTAAAATTTGCTGAGGGCCTTACCAGTAAGGCAATATATTCATACAGTGCTGCAGCGCAGGGAAGTTTACCATGTCCGGTTGTTCCCTTTTGGAAAAGCAAAATATAGCATCCATCCGTAAATCTTAAATGCATTTTGAAGCGCAGAGAAACTACTACAAAGATTACTCAGGTAAACTACTATTTCCGAATTGCTCACTCACAGGAATCAGAGATAACTGAAGCATTGCTCCTACGATTTTATTTTATTGGATTATTTTAGTTGTTTTGGGGGTTATTCTACAAGTTTTATTAAACTATTTTTAGCTTCATTTTGAAACTTAATTCCAAAGGATACAAATTTCTTTTAATAGTGTTAATAGCAAGCGCTCTGAGAATTAACAGGAGAAAAATATGCAACTGCTAGTATAAAAGAAAATTACCAGCCCACTTCCTGTACTTCGGCACAATGTTGAAGCATCACTGTAACGTTCTTCATCAACTGCATTCTACAGAAAACATTTAAGATAAATAACTCCAATTTTAAATGTACAGCAACAACTTATGTCAACCTCTATTTACCTTCAATTGAGACATAATTTCAGCAATACTATCTTTTGATGTTGCTTCTGCAACAGCTATTTTCAGCTTAGCAGCTTCCTGGAAGTCTTCCTTCTCTATCGCATCTTCTAATTGAAACTGTAAATAATAGAAACATTCCAAATATTATGTTAAATAAATGTGTCGCATCAACTGTTTAGATGTTCTCACTAATGCCAATACATCACTGCACAAACTAAAAGAACCTTTTTCTAGTTTAATGACTAATGTACACTTATTAAACTTATTATAGACAATTAGTGATGCAACGCTCCAAGTATATTCAAGGCACAAAAGAAATTAATTAATCATAGTTTTCTATATTCAAATTTTATATAATTTTTGGTTTGTTTCCTTAATGGTCTTTATTACCTAATTTAGGCTAATTCAAGACCTATATAAAGAGGGTCATGCTTTTTATTAAGCACTACGTTATTATTGAATGAAATTAAAAGCTTTCCTCTAAATCATTTTGGCTCTTTTCACTTCAGTTAATCTAGAGGAAGTCATATTTAGTATTTCTACAACAAAATATTCAATGTTTGACATGAGGAAGGAAAGAATTGACTAAAAATGCATGCTAAACATACTTATATTTTTGAAAACAACAACTGAGAAAGGGAAAACATTTTCTGTTGAATAATGAAGCACGAAGAAAAAAAAGTGTGGGGACTTATTACTCTGTACTTGAACGTGGTGGTCAAAAGATTGTGAAAAATGATTCAATGACAAAGGTTAAGCAATGTGAATTGCCACCCTTATGTTACACATGTTAGTTAAGACAAATGTAGTATTGAAAGACACACACCCTAAACATAATATAAAGATATGCATGTTGCTCACACACCAAAATTCCTCTTTGTCTCCCCTCTTTACTTCCTTAACCCCTCCGCCCTCATTATCATAGCTTTAGAGACACCAAAGGGAGTGTAAACAGATGCATCATGCATGTTTTTCTGACAACATATGCATCAATATCAATCAGCTTAAACCTTCATGGGTATACTCTATTGGATAGTAACAATTAATATATTATAACATTTTTTACTTTTAATCTTGTTTAGTGCGGACCAATTAAGGACCCAAACATGCCATTAGAGTATTACATTAATTTTCATCGTGTTCATAAATAGTTTAGTAATCCTTATGTGAGTAAGAAATTAGTAGTTAGTAACAGCTATTTTATCAGATAAGGAAGAAATCTGCAAGCGCTTCAACTTTTTCCACCTTAAAGCTTTTAATTTCAGTTTAATAGGCTACATCTGGAAACCAAGAGAGAAAGTGAGAGGTACAATATTCCCATGTCAAGTATAACACATAATTTATATTTTTTGTGACTTAATTTTTGTGGTGTTAGCCATCTGTATTCCAGAAACTCATTATTTGATAGTTTTCTCTGAAAAAACTTACCAATTTTGTCCTTCAGATCAAAATTTGGCACACTAAGACATGTTTGATTGAGGACCTTTTCCCACATAATATCATAACTAAAACAAGATAAGTACATAATGCAAAACAAATACCCAGGGGTAATCATATTAACTAAAAACATTTTCATGACAAGCACGAGAAACCAACCAACTGCCACGCAACCAAAAATTATCCTCATATATTAAGAACGAGAACCTATTTAATGAAATTTCCCACTAGCATCAGCAATCACACACAAGATATTAAAACCATTTAGAAAAACTGAGCACACCTGCAGCATAACTCAGATGACACAGTAAAATGTGTTACCTTTCAAGCAGTATTAGCATCAGGCAAAATTTATTGAAAACCACAAGTCCTAAAAACAAGATTGAGTGCGATTATACCTTAAAAAATCTTAAATATGTAGCGTACATGCAAATATGGAGTAGTCCTCAGAAATCCATTTCATAAACATCAGGACTGAGGACAATCTTAATAAGAAATTTTCTAACTTTAAGTATATAAAAATTAAAAAAGACACTCTACAACAGTATCAGCCATCAGCATAAATAAATCAAATCCCAGGCAAATAATCATGGATTAGAACAATTTAATAAGAAATTCATATCTTTATAGCATCAACGAATAGGCACACCATATCTTAAAAAATCACATATACACAAGTGCATATGCATGCAAAGATTGAACCTTTAGAACAGAGGCATTACTCTCCGCCTGCTCAATCTCAGAAAAATACCGGGTCCACCTATCCCAATCCCATTCAGCAGATGTTGAAGAACAAGTAGAAGAATAAGAACTGTAATCGCTGCTACCGTTACTGTTATCACTATTGCTATTATGATTACCAGTACAGCGGCAAGAAAGTATTGATTTCTTGTTTTTTCTAAAAACCAGCTTCCTTGGGAAATTGATGGGACAAATTTTCATCATTAAAGGGGAGATTTCTGGGGAAGAATAGGATGAAGGGCGCATTTGCGGATGTGGGTTTATGGTGGAGTGTCCTGTGGCCCAGGTGCTGGCCACTGCCATTTCTTAGTCTGGGATTTGGAGCGGTGGAATGAAATCTGTGTGAATGATATGATATTTTCCAGTACTGAGATGAGAAAGAGCGAGCTATTGAATTATTATGGATAGGATCGGAGGAAGGATAACTCGTGCTTACTTGCATTCGCCGTCCGTGATTGAGACTTACATGGGCCCACTTTACATTTAAGCTAGTTTAGAAATAAAGGAAAAATTCATAGGTAAAAATTTAAGTAGCAGTGTACCACATATTTCAAAAAAAAAAAAAAAAGTTTTAAACTTTGAAAATCAGATTTTTATTAAAATTTATTTATGATTTAATTAATTAATTAAATACATTTATATCACATATCTATACAATTTGATCATAAATTAACGATTTAATTAGTCACTTATTATTTTTTGATTATGAATAAGAAATTTTATTTCATAAATTATTTTACGATCAGAATTCAAAAATTTATAAACCACAATTTATTTATCGGTCACAAATCAAAAATTTATAATTCACGATTTATTTATCGACACAAATCACAAAATTATAAATCACAACTTATTATACGGTCACAAATTATCAAATTATAATTACAAATTAACAATTTTTTAAGTCATACATTATTTTTTTGTCACAATTTATCATTTTTATTGATCACATATTATCTATTAATCACCAAATAACCAATTTAATAGGGATAGTCAACTAAATCATTTGTGACCACCCCTTCAACATTGTCATTTGTTATAAGGCCACGAAAATCGCTGCCCGCCAGAACTACCACCGCCACACCCACAACATCACAATAGCACCATCGCCATTATCACGCGCCACAACATCACAGAACCACTGCCACCCTATCTCACCCCACCCACCACAACCACAATCGCGCACAGCACCACACCATTCACTCAACCATAGCACTTGTAGCACATCATTGCCAGAGCCATTCCCACATCCACCGTTGCCACCAAGCCACCGCTATCGTCGCCATTTCAAGTAGTACCATGCCCACAATCTCAAAATCACCAACATACCGTTGTCTAGCCATCTCACGATCTCAAGATAATCGTTGCAACGATCTCAAAATCACCACAATCTAGCCATCTCACAATCTCAAATCACAGTTGCGAAGCTCATACCAGTCATGTACATCGACGATTTGAAAAAGCATTGTTGTGCGACTTCTCTACACTGCATAGCGCACAGAGCAACTTCTCTGTTTGGCACAACTGCATAGTCGCTGCTATGAGCAGAAGAGTGGTGGTTTCTGACGATGACAGTCCATGAGTGAAGTATAGCAGAAGAGTGCCGCTATGAGCAGAAGAGTGAGAAACGAGAGAGAGAATAGGTTTAGGAGAAATGAATTTAGGGTTTGGAATGAAATAAGATATATTAAGTAATTAATAAAACATCTGATTTTTGAACAATGAAACATTCAATCTGATTTTAGAATTATGAATTTTTAAAGTAAGGTGTGGTGTAATTTTCACTAAAAAGAATATTTTGACTAGTAATTGTTTGAAGAATTTGTCATTAAAAAGTGATAAAAAATAAAATATTTTATTATGTAAATGTGATAAAAATATGTATGAAAAATAAATTATTTTGTTTTAAAAAAGAATCAAACAAGTGTTAACTAAGTTTCGTTTAAGCTAGTAAAAATTAGGAACTGGACTTTATTAATTAGATGACAACGCAAGGGGAAATGGTTTAAAGAATCCACATTTACGTTTAATTAATTATTTGTTAAATAGAAAACTTTATAACAAAATAAAATAAAATTTCCAAGCGGGGTTGAAGAATTTAGTATGAGGATCATGTTTTACGTTCGTATCCTATTTAATAATCGAGATGAGACGAGACGAAAATTTCCTACCTTATTCAAAGCAAGGCGGGATGGTAGCGAGTCGAGCCCGAGCCTTAAACTTTCGGCTCGAGTTTGACTCGGTTAAAATGGTCAAACTTTTTTATGAACTTTTGCCAAATTTTTGATTGGCCAAAAAATTTCGTCTCAAGCTTTTCCGACCTAGCCAAGGCCTTTTTCCCCCCTAGTATTGGCTGCTAGCAAATTCTGCCTTTTATGCCTCTCTCTCTCTCTCACTATTTTTTTTTTTTAATTAAAGGCTCACTGATAGGCTCGGTTGCTCCGAGCCACAAGTCGTCCGAGCCGCCAAACCTTTTTGACACCTCTACATCAACCCCACTTGGTGTATTTGACATATTTTGTTGAACTTTAAGAGTGTATTTGATTGACATAGAAAAATATCGCATAGAAAATAAAATATTTTCCTTATTTTGAGGAAAGGAAAAATCACCTCCCCTTGAAGAAAATATTTTCTTTAAAAAAATAATAATCAAACACTTAAAGTATGAATTTGGATGGAAAATTGATATTTTTCATAAAAAATAAATGTAATCAAACACGCCCTAAATGTCACCATTTTTTTTTGTTACCTAAAAGTAAAATACGTTTAGACGCAAAAGTTAACTAAAGGTGTATTTAATTGCAAACATGAAATTTGAATGGAAAAAAGATAAATTTTAGAAAATTCAATTACTTGAAACTTATTTGTATATAAATTATTAATTAAATGTCTTCGATTGAATAAATTTTCAATCTAAAAATTATTATATTTGATCATTTTTATTGGTAGTTAGATGAAAGATAATTGATAGATAAGAGATAAAGAGAGAGTTTGAATTACCTGAAAAGTAAAAATCAGCACTCCAAAAAAAAAAAAAAAAAAGGTTTTCCTAATTTTTTAGGAAATTATGGTAATACGACTGAAAGTTGGAAAATATTTTTCATATAATTAAATTGTCAATCAAACACATCAAAAGTAAAAATTTATGTAGAAAAATGGTTTTTTCCATAAAAATAAAGTCATTCAGACACATTTTAAGAAAAAATTTACTTTTTCTAATCTAGAAAACAAGTTAAACTTTTGTCTTTGCTTAGACGTGTTTGGCTCGAGTTAAATAAAGTCAACTAGTAAGCAAGTTCGTTAGTAAGTAAAAGGTAAATTCTATCATAAGTTTTCACCTTCTTTTAAGTGTGATACTCATATTCTCAACTTACCATTTTCTTGTATTTGTGTTTCAATCTTTAGAAACAATAACATCCACATCGCTATCTAATAAAGGATATTTATTTAAACTTTAAATGACCACATAATATCGGAAATGGGTTGAGCAAAGCTATAAATTCATGAACTCATAGAAATTTAACTCAACTCGAATTTTAAATGAAAGTTGAACTTATGATTTTGTTTAGTTTGTTTTGGAGAAAATGAAAAATTTTAAAATAATTTTACCCTTTTAGTTATGCATCACACGAATGCCACTTGATCACTCAATGAACGCGTGTTAACAAGGAGCGGGGGTACTACAATTTTAAAAGATTAAGGATACAAGTGTAATAAATGGTAGGATGGGGACATGATGCTACACTTACAAAAGATTTGGGACCCCTCGTGAAATTTACCAATAAGTAGATTTTCTAGTCTAATTTGGATTTAGACTCCTACTTGGGCTCCCATTAGGCCCATGATCTTGGCTCTATATATAAAAGCCCAAATATAATAAGCCTTTTGTCTCCACCTCTCCTTTACAACACAGTATCAATTTACGCAGAGGAAGTAATGGAATCAAAACCCTCAAATTCTCCTTCAAGCTTAGTCGACCAGCACGTTGTGAGTATTATGCTTTCTTTCTTTTTTTTTTTTTCCCTTTTTTTGCATAAATTATGCGAGGGTGCAAATTTACGGTGATAATTTTTTTCTTGTTTTTTAATAGTTTCCCGGGGATGTCGTACTGGACCTCTCTAAAATGACTAATCAAACTATCAAGCTTGGAAGCAGCCTTCGTCAGGTTTCTTTATTGGATGGGCTCTTTATTTTAGCATTAACATTTTCATATTATGTGCTTTTTTTCGCTTTGAAGCTTAAAATTTCACGTGTGGTGCTGAATTGAGTGCAGGAATTGTGTTTTGTAATCATAACTTTAGACGTGGACATGGATGTTTTTGATATTTTGTTATCTGATGTGTTTGGTGAGATTGATGCGAAGAGTGGGTATTTAGGGCTCTATGTCGAATGTAAGCATAAAGGTTGAGGTGATTCTCTAGGTATAGGTGACACTTTCTGTGCCTGAAAATAAATTGCTCAATGATGATTTGGAAGTCAGTAATTTTCTATTTTATAAGATTTCTGGAATTTTGAACTTCTTGAATTTACTTGTTCCAGGAGAATTGGTGAGGGTTGCAATTATGTTGGCATATAACCAATGATCTCCAAGTTACGTTCTTTGGGTCTTTCCTTTTCCTCACACCTGTGGGATATTTTTTACAAGTCTTTAAACTGTATAGCAAAGGGAGTTACGGAGAAAACATACAATTTTGTTTAAAGAGAAAATGGCCCGTTTCTTATCTTAAATGATACGATATGACATTCCTATTTCAGTTGAAGTAGCAAGGAGTATTTCTTGAATACATTTGATAGAATTTGGAAGAGAAAATATGTGAAATGTACTAATCAATATATCATTATTTAGTTGCCTAACAAGGGAATATTGCTAGTTTTTTGACTTCCTGTCCTTCATTCTTAGGACGGTGATGCTATATCCGCTATGAAAGCAGGGAAGCTTAGGTTTGCAAAACCAAACAAGTACTGGGTTGAAAGCTCCCATAAACGGGTGAGTCTGATGCTCGAATTCCTTGTCTACCAAAATAGTATGGATAACCCCATTGCATGGACCAATTATTTTAACCTTGCTTAAGATTTAGATTTAGATTTTGATCTTATTGCTTATTGTCTTCACAAAGAATCTGTGAACCTCTCTACTGCAAATAAAGATTGTTAAATATACTGTTGGTCTTCCTGTTACTATCAACGCCATTATGCGCTGATGCATATACTTATACTTTATTTTTTTTTCTTTTCTTTTCTCTTTTTTTTATTTTTTATTTATTTTTTATTTTTTCTGTTGGTCTTCCTGTTACCATCTATGCCATTATGAATTGCTCCTGTGCATTAATCTACATTTCACACATTAAATTTCTTCTTGCATCCAAATTGTGTATTGAATCAATTATTTTATCCAAATGCTTCAACTGGATGTAATAAACAAAAGCTTTGTACATAATCATTGCATGGAAAAAGACAAGAATTTTGAGGGTCAACGCTTCTATTTGTTTCTGGAATTCCTAAATTTGGAAAAGGCAAAACCATGTGGTCTATCAGGCATTTTGCTTGGTATACCACCCACAATGCTCGAACAGAGTCAGGTGAAGCAGTGTGAATATGTTAACAAAGCATCCACTGATATTTTGTTTTATTACTTTATTGCATGTAAGAAGTATTGAATAAGTTTGAGTCATTTAAATAGATTCTGAATTTGCATGGTCATGATTTCTGCTCCAATTGCAAAGTAAATGTTTCCTTCTTTCTTTAAAATTTGAATCCTTTACCTTCCTAAGTTTTTGCTTTTCATTAAAAGTTTAAAGCTTTAGGCATAATAGATGGCCTTTGAAAGCATTGTAGCTTTTCGGCAATAGTCGAACATGGTTTTTCTCCCTCTTTCTTATATTTTTCCTTTTATTCTCTTTTTTTCTAATTTGGGATAGGGATTTGTTATTAACTTAATGAAGAATGTTGAATAATTCTTTTACTTATTGTTACTTTTCTTGGTCAATTGTGTGCGATAAGATTATTTTTCCTTCATTTTTTCAATTACATTCAAGTTCTGAAGCTGCAAAACAATCTAAATTCTCCGTGTTCTTGTACTTCTAAAAGCTTCACTGGGTTCATCGTTGCATTTTCTCCCAAATTAGTTCACCTGTTGCATGTTTGTTGGATGTTGAAATCAAATTGTTGGGAGAATACATCACAATAATATGCTCGAGTTGCATTATCTATTTGACATCAATTATAGGTGTCATTGTGTCATTGCAGTGGTTATTAATCTAGTTTCTGACTTTGTTATTGTCATTATTTGCCTAGTATATGTTTAGATTTGCTTGTGTGGAAAATTGTAATCTTTCTTGGTTGAGAAGTGCGAAATATTTTATTGTGTAAATTCAAACATTCTCAATTGCAGTATGTACCTTGTGCTGGGGATACAGTTCTTGGAATAGTCGTTGATTCAAAAGCAGATGTGAGTACTTTTAGCACTTCAATGATGTTTTAGAGGGACGATTAACTGCTTGTACTAGTTATATATTTACATCTTGTTACTCCTCTTTCCAGATTATTATATATAGAAAATATTTTCTATGCTTTTGTATAATATCGAATTTGAAGTTGCCTCGTCTTCTTAGCTTTTAGAGTATCTTCAAGAGGCTCTTGAAAAGGGAAATACTCTCTATTTTGAAGTGTCAATCTTTAAAATTATGCTACAAAGAGACTCTTCAAATTAACATTTTAAAATATTACTTTCTAAAATTAAATGCATTCAAAATATTTCAATTTTCAGTGCTTCATATATGGACACAATTAAATAGTATATACAAAGAGAATTGAGGGAAATAATATAATAATTAGGAAGGAAGATGGTGAAAATAAAAGACAGAGAAAAATGATAAATACATATAGGGAGTAGTAAAATTAAGGGTGCGTTTGATTGTCAATATTTTTCATGAAAAATGTCATTTTCTATCCAAATTTCTACTTTTGTGCTGTTTGATTGATTTTTTCTATGGAAAACATTTTCCTACTTTTGGTTACATGACCACGTTTACCTTGAAAATAAGGAAAATATTTTCTCTAGGGAGAATAGGTTTTTATTTTCCAGGTAATTCTCTCTTTCTCTCTCATCTACCTTCTCTCTCTTTCATTTATCTACCAATAAAAAATGGACAAATATAATGTTTTCTAGGTTAAAAATTAAATCAATTAAACATAAATTGACAAATTTCCTGTAAATAAATTTTAGATAAATTCCATGCTTTCAATCAAACACATCCTAAGTGTAAGATAAAGTGGTTATTGGAGTATTTAAAAAATTTACTCTCCAAATTAAAAAATATACTCTTTAAAATTAGAGAAGTCTGTTGGAGATGCTTTTATGCCTCTGTTTTAAAAGTAATTCCTTGTCTACCAAGAATTATAATATAATGCTTTACTGTTTGCTTCGTTTGGTAGTACTATAGACTTTTCTTTTTGGGTCTACATAGTAAGGTAGAATAGTTAGCTTCTTGAACTTCACATTTTATTTCTTAGTTTTTATTTCCTTTTTGTACTGATGTGGATATGTATTTTGATCCTACTGACTCAAATGATAACACATTTAGATGACTGATTGCCAAGTTGAGTGCGAAAGTAGATGAGATCATACAATTGCCTCCATTGATTTCTGATGGGGGCTGCTTATGAACGGAAACACAACTTGTAGCTTGAGGCCTGGGGTTACCTTATATTACTGCATCATGTGAATTCCTTGTACAGCATTCCGAGTCATAATAGGGGGCGCGCTCTACCACTGAGCTAATAGCCCGTCGTGCGAGCCTCCCACTGGGGGCCCGCTATGCCACAACTTGTAGCTTGAGGCCTGGGGTTTCCTTATGTTACTGCATCAATGTTTTTTTCTTTTTGAGCATATCCACTGTCTAATGTACTTCAGCCAAAAAAAAAACCCTGTGTGACAGTAAACAATCCTATTGATTTTTCCACAGAATTGATCCTTATGTCCGAACTCACAAGGGTACAAGAGTTTGTGAGCGGGAAATCTAGAAGTTGTACTGGAGTCATTTTGTTCAGAAAATAAATGAAGTAGGAGAATCATATAAATGAAATTAATGAACATTGTGAAGAGATGCCAGCATGGCAGTAGAAGCCTCCCAATTTGAGATCATTTTTTTGTTGACCACCCTATCTTTTTTATTTTCTTGTCAGTATACTTTTTTGTCACGTTTTTCTTCACCCTTCAATTGAAAAATGTTTCTTTTTCTCATTAATGCGGAAATTTGAATGTATTCAAATCCGTTGTAACTTTATATCTGTACATGCACTGAGAAGCAGGTCATTCTGAATAAAAATAATTTCAATTTTTATTTGCCGGTTTGGATATGTTTGAATACAGTTCATGTTTTTGTTAACTCAATACACATGTTCATGTGAATATTTGCAACAGTACTTTCTTGTGGATATAAAAGCTCCTACATTAGCGTTTCTGCCAGTGCTTGCTTTTGAAGGTGGAACTCGGAGAAACATCCCCAAGTTTGAGGTGCATTCCTATTTTCACTGAGATTCGTGCTTATCCAGATGTGATACAACTCTCTATTTACTGTTCAGGAAATTAAAACCGTATTCCAGTTTTCAAGTTTAATGGAAATATAGATGCTTTCAGCAATTTATATTTCTTTAATACTTTTTATATGTTAGGTCATTTAATTCCTTCTGCGCATGTGGGTTGAAGTGGAATGGCTATCATAAATGTAAATTTCAAGCTTTGCTAATTTACTCACTCTTGGGTCTTTTGAAGAAAGTCAAAAGCATGATTGCTTCTGGGAAAATTTTAAGTTTATGAACTAATTACTCTATGCCATTGTTCCTTTTTCTTTCCTTTTCATTTTGAAGAAGTAATTGAACTCTGTTCTTAAATCCATAACGAGGTGAATATCATAAGAAGAATATGTCCTAACAATATTACAATAAATGTTCAGTAAACAATTACACGATGATGGTTTTGAGATTGATAGGATACTTTGGTTGTCACTCTCAAGTACTAAGTAATGTGGCAACTGGCAATGCAAGGATTTTATGGTGGAAAAATGGACTGCTAAACCGAAGGTTTTTACCTAGAAACGAAATTCTCTAGTTTTATCTCCCAAATGCAAACATTGTATTTTCCCTTTACACTCAAACAAAGAGGCATATTCTAAAATCTAAGCTCATATTTTATAGCGGTTTTGAAATTTCAAATTTATAAAGGGATAAATGGGAAAAAGTACAACTTATGGAAAAATGGACTGCTAAACTGAAGGTTTTTACCTAGAAACTATATTCTCTAGTTGTATCTCCCAAATACAAACATCGTATTTTCCCTTTACACTCAAACAAAGAGGTATATTCTAAAATCTAAGCTCATATTTTATAGCGGTTTTGAAATTTCAAATTTATAAAGGGATAAATGGGAAAAAGTACAATTTTATGTCAATTTTGTAGTACTATGCTTGAAACTTCTGTTCTTCGAAATCAAGCAAAAATTGAACTGGAGGGAGGATGCATTTTCTAGTGCATACGCGTTTCAGAATTTGTATGTGGATGCCATATGGGATTTTTAAGGGCCCTATTTTTCTTATCAGTTCAATGGAGGAATTAGAATCGTTTTACAACCATCACGCAGAATAGACACTTCGCATCCCATCTCTCTTACTCTAGGGAAAACAGGCTGATCTTCTCTAAGAGCTCACATCAACGGGAAGGTTTGGCACCTTGATGTCGGCTCTTTTCCACTTGGGGCTGTCGTATATTCTCACAATGGCGGACACATGCAGGAAATAGGAGCCAGGAAGCATCTTTATGACAAATAGCCTTTTGCATTCATAACAATTGGCAATAAGTTGCTGATTCATTTTTAGTCCATAGCTTTGAAATATTTTTCTTCATTTGTGCTAATTTATTATTTTCTGCCTGTGAATGGACATAACATGAATTTGTTTTGGTGGGTCTCTTATTTGCATTTACTTTCTTTTGCCGTCAGATGGGCACTTTGTTGTATGCTCGTGTTGTCATGGCAAACACTGGCATGAACCCTGAGCTAGCATGCATGGATGGTTGGTTCTCACCCCTCCTCGCCCCTTCCTGAAAAAATAATTTGTACTTGGAAACTTGTGACCTTAAACCTTGCCTTTTCTTGAATTTGTAAATCATTTTCTTGTGCTTTGTAGCCACTGGGAAAGCAGCAGAGTTTGGTCCCCTTAAAGATGGATACATGTTTGAATCAACAACTGGACTATCAAGAATGTAACCTTTTATTCCCTACATGAACAGTTTACGTAGTTCACTCTTCTATGAAGTTCATTGATACAGATGTGGACATTATGGAGGCTTAAGTTAGTCTTGCTTTATTTCATGCTAAGAAGATTTCAACTTGCGCTCTAGGTTGTTGAAATCTCCACCATGCCCCCTTCTTGAGACTCTTGGGAAGAAGCTCGCTTTTGAGATTGCAGTTGGTTTAAATGGCCGTGTCTGGGTAGAATCTAAGCATCATTGTACTCTAATGGTATTTTCGTCAATTTAACATTCTGGGCCTTCTCTTAACTTCTTGACTTGTAAACTGTTTCAGGTGAACGCGTCATCTCCATCTATAATTATCCTTGTAGCTAATTCAATCATGAAATCAGAGTCATTGAGTCCTGTACAGCAAAAGATTATGGTGGATAACCTTCTCCAGAGAGTTCAGTAAAAGAGAGGTTGAACCTAGGTTAAAATCTAAGTGGACATTATTTGTAAATAAGCTGATCTTTCGAATATTCTGAATTTTTTTGTTCCTTCTGCTGATGTTAGCCTCATATGCTTTGCAGGGCCAGCATCACCAAAGAATGGCTTAGTAGCTGCATAGGGGTTACGAAACTGGACTATTTTCGACTCAAGAGTCCCATCATTGCATTGGTCCACTGCTGCCAGCTTGACAAATACCATATTTTTCGAACATTTTTGACCTGTAGGAGGATGTCAATGCGATTTCCCCACTTATCTTTCTATACTATTTGACACCTGGGATTCTGGGCTATGCAAAAAGATAAAACTTTTTAAACTAGTTTATGTAGTATAAACTGTAATTACTTACATTTGTTCCTATATGTTGATTAGTTATCAGTTAGATGAAACAACATTTTATCATGTCATTCTATTGAAATATGTTTTTCCACCAGTGAGGAGTTTGCTGGGACCGCAGCTCTATTGATACACCTTTCTGAATTTGCATCTGATTTCTTGAGTTTCGTTCGAATCTGTTGTTTATTGATGCATGGCTATCTTGTGTGCTGTTAGTGTTTTGATACGTAAAAATCTTCAAAACAAGTAGGATTCATCTCTTTGGCCTGCGATTGCCCTATGTAAACTTGACCTTCCGGGGGTGGCACCTTGAGTCGACCCCCGTTTGGTTGAAATTGTACATTTTAGTACGGCTATTTTGTTTCAACTTCACTCTATGAGAGCTGGTCATGTTCGAAGTCGTTATCTTAGCCTTAAGTATGGGGATGCTGAAGGCACGGCAGGGGTATGATTGTATGAGGTCATACATCAACTAGTCTCTTCACTCTCTCTGTTAACTCTCGGCTAACTTTATTGTGTCATTTTCTTTACGGTGATCGAAATTGTCACTTCAGACCCATGAATCTCTCATTTTAGAGTGATTGTTACCCTCATTTGTGTGCAACTTCAGCAATCATGTTGTGCCTTGAGGACGAACATTTGCTTGCTCCTTTAGATAGTAACAAATGTATTGCAAAGATGAAAAAATCTTTAAACTAGGTGTCACTGGAGTAAAGTTAGAGGTTTAACTCGTATGCGAAATAGAATAAAAGAGTATTACTTTTGGAATGAAGAATAATTTATTTACTTATAATTTTAATAGATTTTAATTTTTTAAAATTTTCTAACAGTTATAATGGATAACATTGGACCTATTCATGTTCAAACTTCAAAGAGATTATTCAACATTTTCGACTTAATTTGGACATATTACTCATTCAAATAAAAATTTTAAAATTAAAAATCATTCTTTTGTTCAAATATTCAACCCAGATAAGGTAAATTAATACATGGCTGACAACTCTTTCAAAGATTCAAACTAAAAATATTTTTTTATACAATATATTCTACGCAAATAAGGTAAATTGAACAATGAAAACTTATTTATAAAATATATTCTTATCTAACATTGGTATTTTATTCAATTGTTCAATGAAAATCAGAAGTGTACATCTTGACTTGCCATACTCATATATTCACTTAATTTACGTGTTGATTAATATTGTAAAATTCTGAGATTTGAACATATAATTTTCGAGACATGTTTAATATACTTAGGAATTTGTAAACGAAAGTTGTATCTATAGTTCGAATGGAACTCTTTGGAGGAATTATACTAGGGTTTTCCTATTTGTTAAGAATGAAGTAACGATATATGGTCCCTTGATAGTTTTGATAGCAATGGAGTTCTTGTTTGACGTGAAAAACCATCCTATGAAAAGTTAAGAAAGTACATGTGATTTCCTTTTCGAAGGTAGAACTATTAGGGGTCCAGTTTTTTTTTTTTAATCAACTTTTGCTACTTGATTCAATATGTTTACAAATTATAGGGATCGTTTTAATCTTTGATGACTGATTGTGATTGGATGGTGCGCCGTGCTATGTGTACAAGAGCTTTTTTTTTTTTTTTTTTTGTTAATTGGGCGCGGGCTATCCTTCATGTGAAGCCAGTGTACATGGGCGTGTCAATCTCCAGTGTACAAATAGCAAATTTCATTCTACCGTTGAAAAAGGGTTCACATGACCGACATGTGGGACTTCATTGCTACATCTCCCATAGGTTTAGGATTCAATGGTCATTTAGCTTATAATTTGTTTTGGCCCTCGTGTATCGTGCTTCTCCTTTAATATTATTATGTATATGGGCACGGATCATGATTTAATAGTAACGAGTGAATGGGGCCAATGGGCATATGTTTCACGCTTTTTCAATAATGACTAAGCAAGAATTTCCATACAAATAAAAACAATAATAAGGATAAAAGAATTAAGTTTCTACTTATTTCATGGCTCTTATAGTTCATTTTGCTCAAAGAACGGATAATTTCGGTCGGCTTTTGTCGCTAGATTGTGACAAGTAAATTTCAATTTAAACAAATAATATTAATTTTTTTCAAGTGTACATGAATTTTTGTGTAAAATCGAGTGGATTCGAGCAAGCGGAGCTTTCTCTATATTCCGTCTCTTAGGAAGTGAACTAATTCGATAGTGTGTTTATCTCAAAATATCTTAAGTTGTATTGTTATTTCGATTTTTTTAAAATCAATATCTATCGTTTTATTGTGATTTTCTTGGTCTTATTCATTTTCAAAGCAATACGACTCATAAATAATTAAAAATTTAAGTAGAAGAGGGATCACGTTACTAAGGTAGATATCCTTGTTTTTAAAATAAATAATTGATTATATCTTGAAGGAAATAGTCTATAGTCAAAGTACGTGCTTTGACTATGTCTGGAGTGTAACACACATTTAGAAATAATTGATTACGTAAACTGTGTCCCTGTTTGAGCCCCATTATTTCTCATTACATTAAATTAAATTTTTTTCTTTCTTACTTTTAACAACACAATCTTCAATAAAATAATATACACGTAAATTAAAAAATTTTCAATCACTCATTTTTCAAAAAATCACTATTGATCTCGTTATAATCTACAAATAATGGGACTATTTGCACAAGATACTAAATTAAAGGGGACTCTGGTGGTCAAGGATGGCAACTTTCAAAATATGTTCAAATTTCTATCATTTTATAATCATCAAAATAATATTAATTAGTTTTATACGAAGGGTTCAATTTAATTCATGATAAATAATGTTATTTTTCGTTATCATCATTGGATTCTTAACATTATTCATAAGGTTCTTTTCATTCTTTATCTCGTCTAAAATTATTTTATTTAGCATGTAAGGTTGGATATATACTTAACAATATTTAAATCGTGAAAGCAAAGACATAGTAGATAATCGCTGCAAAATGTATAATTTCAAATTTGTCAGGGCTTGTTTGGGAGTGATTTTTTCCCCAAAAAATTGATTTTTTGACCGTTATTTCTTATTTCAGCCGTCATATTTGACTTCTTCTTTCACAGATGAACCCCACTTTTCTCCTAACAGTCGAAAAATCAATTTTTAAAATCACTTCCAAACAGACTCTCAATGATATTCTAACTCAATTTGAGTAAACATTTTAAAAATAAAAATACTTCGAAACTTTCGACGATATTTGTGTTATAATTTAGGCATAAATTCTTGTAATTACAACAATTCTTAAACCTTGAAACTTTCTTTAGGCATAAATTCTTGACATCAATTACAAGGATTAAGGCCCCGTTTTGGAGTAATTTTCACTCAAAAAATTGATTTTTTAATCTTTATTTCACTATTTTAGCCGTAATTTTTTATTTCTTCTCTCATATGTGGCTTCACACTTTTCTTCTAATGGTTAAAAAATCAATTCTCAAATTTGGAATTGATTTTTTGACCGTTAAAGTGAAAAGTGGTCCCACCTGTAATAATGGTTGAAATAGTGAAATAATGATTAAAGAATTGATTTTTTGGGATGAAAAATTGCTACCAAACAAGGCTAAAATTAAAAACCTATTTATTTGCTTTGGACTGGCCAAAAGGGAATCATTCAAGAAAAAGAAATTGTCTATCTTGGCATGATTCTTCGTTCCAACTTTTCATAGTAATCATCTAACTGTAAATAATTAAAATATTTAGGATTAAGGAACCAAAGAATATTGAATTAAAGAATAGCCCATGCAGTCCACGAGAGGGGTTTATTCTCCACTTGTCTTATCCTTCATTTGTATTCTTCCTCACAACCAATTGTTTTGTGTTCTTCAGTTTATCTGTACCATGTACGTGATTGAGTTGATATCAATATGAGTTGCTAAAGAAGTAAAACAAGTTTGTATTTTCCTCGATCTTTTTTTTATTATACTATTCATAGATTAATGATTCATTTGATAGGATTTCTGTTATTACTTTTTGTTAAAAAATTTTTTTTGAGAAAGTTTAATTTTTTTATCAAAACAAAATGTTTTCAGAAATTTATGTAGACATATTCAAAAGCTACGTCTGATGGGCCCTAAGTCAAGATAATGTTTAGTTCGTAAGATTAGTTGAGGAAGGGGAGAAATGAATTCTTTATAATTTTTTTGGTTACATTTTGGATATTAATTTTTTAAAAAATTACCATAAATCTTGAGGGGTAACTCAGTGGTCATATGTTGAATTTACTCCCCAATGGTCACCAATTCGAGTCCTCTCAGGGCAACTAAGGTGAATATCAAGCTGTAAATTTCAGCGCTTCGTGAGATTAGTTGAAGTGAGAGCGTAAGTTGGCGCGAACACCCACGATCATAAAAAATAATGAAAAAGAAATTACCATATGCATATTTTTATTTTATAAGTGTTAATAATACGATAATCCATTAAGTCAACATAAAAATTAAGGTAAATTTAAAAACACTCATTAAATTTCACTTTACTGTTGTAATTTTAAAAATTTACTGTTTTTACATTTTGTTATTTTATTAGTAATTTGCAATTTATTAAGCATTGTCCCGAAAATAAGAAAATCACAAATAAGTAATTAACAAACTACAAGAAGGACTCTCTAAATAAAATAGGAATGTTAAATGTTAGTTTATATAAGGATCGCATTTAATCCAAAATATGTTCTCTCTTAATGCATTGCTCTATGTTTATATAACGGTAATATGTAATTTTTTTTGAAAAATACGATATATGAAATACAATTATAAAATTATAAAATATGATAGTGCCTATGTTTATGGAATCATAATTTTCAAATCTGATTTGACCTGAATACTGATCAAAATAAAGAGGTGGATCACTAGGTTAATAGTTCAAACTATAACTCGATTCAATCGAAGAGTCAACTAATCTCAAATATAATAAATTAATTTTAATATGTAATAAAATAATAATAATTATTATTATTAGTATTTATTAAATTGGTTCTACACATATATATATTTTTTAAAATTTTTAATCCAAACCTCAATAAGAGGAAATACTTTCAAGATGAAAAAAATCATGTTAGAAAAAATAATTAACAATAAAAAAGGTGAAGAATTGAACACTGAAGTGGTAAGCTACTATCCAAATGCTAAATAAAAATTTGAAAATTTCAATTAGCAATGCTCTACCGGGTTAATAGAGTTGATATTGAGGGGATTTTTATTTTTTTAAACCAAGTTGTTTTTTTATTTTTTACCATGTTAATCACGAATCAGTTTAATAGAACTATTTGAACCGAATTGATAATCGCGTTTGAATTTTTTTTATTAAAATCAGTCTGAATAAAGAATAATGTTATTTATCATGGTCTTGACCCGGTAACGACTATCACGAATAAGAATACACAAATTGTAATGTTTGAAAACATGATAATAAATTTTCCTTATTTTAATCGCTTTTCATCTTTTAGAGTGTGTTTGATTGACATGGAAAATATTACCTAGAAAAGAAAATATTTTCCATCTTTTGTGGAAAATAAAAACCACCTCTACCCAAGGAAAATATTTTCCTTAAAAATAAAGAAAATTAGGCTTATTTTCAAAAGTTGAAAAATATTTTCCATAAAAAAAAATAGCAATCAAATACTCCAAGTAAAAATTTAGGTGAAAAATTGATATTTTTCGTAAAAAATAAATGTAATTAAACACCTGTCCTAACTTCCTATAAGACATCGTTTGTGCCACTCAGCATCCACTTGCGATCACCCCACTCGGCTCCACTCTTCTTCTCCCTCTCTTTTCTCTATCCAAACGGTCATCGCTACCTGTTTTTCCATCCGAAGCCCACCAAAAGTACAGGCCTGCTTGTTATATTCATCTCTCATTCTTGAAATTTCAGCCTCGCAAAAGGCGGAGATTGGTGGCGTCAATATTGGTGAGAAGACATGGCTTTGAATTTTCTTTCCCCAACTGAAATCAAGTCCCTTTCTTTCTTGGACACTTCTAAATCTTCTTACAACCTTAATCTCCTCAAAAACCAAGGTAAATCCCACCCCAAAAATCTCTTTCTTTATGCATATTTGTGTCTTTATTTGAATTGTTAATTACACTCGCGTTAAAGTTTATTAATTTGTGCTGTGGATGTGATTTTAAAGAAGTGTAGTTGTGTGTTTCTGTGTTGATACATAATGGGGATTGATATGAAGGTAGTGGGTAATTGTTATTTTATTTTATTTTGGCTAATGATAATATAAATATAGGGATAAGTACAATTATAAGCTTCTTGTTTTTATTCCCCGTGTAAGCAGAAAAGGTAGAAACATCCTTTTGACTTTGGCTAAAATAAGCTAATACTTACTTGTTTCTGGTTTGGATAAATTACTTTGTTCTAACTTTAAGTAAAGATGTATATCCAAAGTAACTTTTATATCAAAATTAGTAATTTCTTTACAGATTTGATCAACAAAAAAAAAAAATTTATTTTAATAATAGACTTTTACTTATAGTACGCTTACTTATGAGTGTGAATTTTTGAAATGAAATTTTAACTCATGTGAAATTTGTGGATTTCTTCAGGTGTGTTTGCTTTGAAAAGGAAGGATGAAACTACCATTGCAAAGAGAGTCCACTGTTCTGCACAGCAGCAGCCGCCTCCAGCTTGGCCAGGGCGGGCTGTTTTCGAGCCAGGTCGTAAAATTTGGGATGGTCCAAAGCCTATCTCAATTGTTGGATCTACTGGTTCCATTGGAACCCAGGTATAATATAAAACTTGGTATCCCCCTTGAGATACATTTCATAATTAATGCTTTGGTATATTTCTTTTCTCCATATGCATACGCCTCTGAGGACCATGATTATACTCTTGGTGTGTGTTGGACTAAGCTTTCACTTTTTATGCTTTTTGTTTCTAAACAAGTTTGGATAAATTATTTCTTCTTATCATTACTTATAAGAAAACTTTTAAGTTTCTGATTTTGAATATGTTGTCTCACATATGCACTAAAGCACAGTACTCAATTTGTATAACATGAACAAATTTGTTCAAGGGACCTAATATTGAACCGATTCGTATTGCTTAGCTCATATTATCACCTGTGGATAATAGGTATCATTTATGCTTCCTGATTGAGTAAATGACAAGGTTTTGTTCTATGGTGCAATTCTTTGGTTGCTTACTATCTAAATCTGTGCTGTGCAGACATTAGACATAGTTGCTGAAAATCCGGATAAATTTAAAGTTGTTGCACTTGCAGCTGGGTCAAATGTGACACTTCTTGCCGATCAGGTGATTGATTATTAATTTATGACACATGATAGACCTAGGATATGCCAAGTGTTTGTAATTCAAGTAGTCCTTTCTTTTGCATTGCATTAGACCTCCTGTATTTATAAAGTGAGTTACCTAATGAGGCAGGTAAAGAGATTTCATCCTCAATTAGTTGCTGTTAGAAATGAGTCATTAGTTGATGAACTCAAAGAGGCTCTGGCAGACATGGAAGACAAGCCTGAAATTATTCCGGGAGAGCAGGGAACCATTGAGGTTATCTATCATATGTGTCATTAAATTTTCATTGGTTAGTAAATGATAATCTAACTCATACCTCATTGCACTTATTCATATTTCAGGTTGCACGCCACCCTGATGCAGTCACTGTAGTAACAGGAATAGTTGGCTGCGCAGGTTTGAAGGTATCCGTGCATGTTCTTCCCTCTTTATGAAATTTATTTGTGTCCACTTATCTAGAATAAGCTGATTCTTTTTATGAGGCACAGTTACTGTAACTTTGACAAGCAGGGGTGATTTTCTTATTCAAATTGCATCCTATTAGAAAGTCTAGCGAAACAGATAAGGCTCAAATTTCATGTGTAGCAACATGGATTCAATACCTTTCTGATACTTCTCTTGTACTTGTTCTAATATATATGGACAATCATGTCTTCAATTGTTATGAAGTCCTTGTTAGATTTTTTGAACTTAAATGCTACACTACCATTGATTGTTGACTTGAAGAAACTTTGCTTTTTTCCTTTACTTTTGGAGAGGTTGAATTTGGATACTGCACTCGTATATTTCTTTTTCTTCTAGAAACTTCACCATAGGAAAGAGGAATGTTCTCTTCCGCAAACAAAATTCATAAATAAATCTACTAGAAATCTGATTGCATGTGTATTTATTTTATTAGCCTACTGTGGCTGCCATAGAAGCTGGAAAGGACATTGCTTTGGCCAATAAAGAGACACTAATTGCTGGAGGCCCTTTTGTCCTCCCCCTTGCTCGCAAGCACAACATAAAAATTCTTCCTGCTGATTCTGAACATTCTGCTATATTTCAGGTATGTCTCTAATTAGTTTAGAGTTTTCTATATACTTCTATGCTCATAGCTGTATTTCACTTGTTATCCTATTTCTCCATTCTAAGGGTTAAGAAAGATATGTTTTTCATCAGTGTATACAAGGATTGCCTGAAGGTGCTCTCAGACGTATAATTTTGACTGCTTCGGGAGGTGCATTCAGGTCTGTGTAAACTTATATGTAAAAAGAACTTTTAAGGTTGAACAAACATTTTTGAAATTGTACTTTTTCATTGCTTATCTTTGATCATTCTTCATATTTCTTCCATATTTTTCTCTTTCCTCAATTGTGTCAAATCATACTTATCGTTGTCAATTATAGGGATTGGCCTGTAGATAAATTGAAGGAAGTGAAAGTAGCTGATGCTTTGAAGCATCCCAACTGGAATATGGGAAAAAAGATTACGGTGGACTCAGCCACCCTCTTCAACAAGGTAAGTTGCAATTTTTTTCATTCTGTGACTTTTCTTCGATATCTTGGTTGTTATTCAAAACTAAGCCTTTGTTTGACAGATTTACAAGTCATTCATAAATTGTTCAAACTTTATTTTCAACCACCCATTTCAATGGACCGACAAGTACTATCCACCACTCACTTTTATCTATTTATAAATTAAACAATTTTTAAATTTTTCACAAACAGAGGCTAAGTTAAGCACAATGACAAGTTTGCGATATTTTGGTGGACGCTTTGTACTAAGTCGGGTAATTATTTCATTTTTCTTGACAGGGTCTCGAAGTTATTGAAGCTCATTATCTTTTTGGAGCTGAATATGATGACATCGAGATCGTTATACATCCCCAGTCAATCATACATTCCATGATCGAGACACAGGTAAACTTATTTCCATTGCTTTCTCCAGTTTCTTAAGTCTTGGAATAAATGTAACTCGTGCAGTTTAGCTATTTTTTATTTCTTTGTTCTCTATATTATGAACCTTACATCACATGTTTTTTTCGTTTCTTTATTCTTGCAGGATTCGTCCGTATTGGCACAATTGGGGTGGCCTGATATGCGTTTGCCTATTCTCTACACATTATCCTGGCCTGACCGAATTTACTGTTCTGAAATTACTTGGCCTCGCCTTGATCTTTGCAAGTAAATGGCACGCACTGTACATAAAGAATGCAATTTAAGTGGCTTAATTATCTTATTACATATTGACAATAGACTTTCTCTGCATTTTAGTTAAATATAATTGAATTCTAAATATGATTTTTAGGCTTGGGTCTCTTACATTCAAGGCTCCTGACAATGTGAAATATCCATCTATGGATCTGGCCTATGCTGCTGGACGAGCCGGGGGGACCATGACGGGGGTTCTTAGTGCGGCTAACGAAAAAGCTGTAGAACTGTTTATCAATGAAAAGTAAGCGTTTGCATTCTTTTCCGGTTAAGCACGAACTTTATAGCCCTTGCAAATGTATCATAATCTATTTATTCTTGCCATGTAATTCCAGTTAATGATCTATCTCCCTATCGCAGAATAAGTTATCTGGACATCTTTAAAATTGTGGAGCTAACTTGTGATAAGCACCAATCGGAATTGGTATCATCGCCTTCGCTCGAGGAAATTATACATTATGACTTGTGGGCCCGGGATTACGCCGCCAATTTGCAACCCTTGGCCGGTTTAAGTCCTGCTCTTGTATGAGCTGTTGAAGAGAAAAGCTTTGCAATCTTGGCAGAGGGATTGTGGGGGCATAAAGCAATTGTAGCATAGAAGAAAATGGAATCGGAGAATTTCTAATGGTTCTTCATCTGTAATTGTAAGTAATAAAACTGCATGCATTTGGTTTCTCGTCAATGAAATGTAGTTTAAGCTTACACAATTGGATTTCAAGAAAATGTAATGTTGGGCCTTAATGCTCAGTTAGGCCAAGTAGCCCAAGCCTGTGGCAGCCCAGACCGTTAAAAACTTAGCCCAATCTGTGTACTTAAAGCATCAATAATAAAAAAATAAAAAATTCTCTAGATTATATTTGACTTTTTGACTTGATTGCGTTGATAAGAATCCTATTTTTTATGCTTTGTGGATATGTAGTACTATTCAACAACATACACCTAAATGTGGGTGGGGAAAAACAATCAAGAATCAACCGAACTAAATCCGTTTGATCGATTTTACATGTAATTTAAACGTTTGGTTATTAAAATCAAGAAGTAATTCTAATCCTTTTTTCTTTTAATCTTGAGGCCTATGAACATGGATTAACCCATTTTTTCTATGCCACAGTAAGTTCAACTTAAGGCATACAACAAAACATTTTTTTCGCACTTCTTCATACTTCGAAGCCCTAATTTTGTGTTTGAAATTTCCAAATTTCGTCCTTTTCATTGAATAAGGATTTATTTATTATTTTATTTTTTTGGGGATGTGCATAAATATGCATTAACAATTTTACAATTGTAGCTATGAAATCAATCCAAATCAAATTGAATTAGAACAATTCCGTTTCTTTCCATAATTATAAATAGGGTAATTAGCACAAAACGTCCCTACCTTTCAATGTTTTTGTGAAAAACGTTCCTACCTTTCGTTTTTTGGCGAATTACACCCTCACATTTACCTTTTTTTTTGCGTAAAACGTCATTTTGTCCACTCTCCGTTAAAATGTTCCGTTAAATTAAAAGATAATTAGCACAAAAGGTCCTTACCTTTCAATATTATTGTGCAAAACGTCCATACATTTCATTTTTTGGAATAATTAGCACAAAAGGTCCCTACCTTTCAATGTTATTGTGAAAAAGTCCATACCTTTTATTTTTTTAGCATTTTCACCCCTACCTTTCACATTTCATTGCGAAAAAGGTCATTCTCATCCATTTTTTTTTCAATAAAATGAAGATTTTACCCTCCGATTCAAATAAAACAAAAAGGTAGGAACGTTTTCCTATTAAACGGCTAGGCCTATCCGAGTAAAATATAACACTCAAAGAATAATGTTATTTATCATTAGTGGTTTAATCAATAAATAGAAGGCCATGAACACCTACACCAGTAACAACTATCACACCAAAATCGATTAGAATGGAGAAGACTCAATATAAAAACAAAGTACTGCACTGATTGAGAATTATTTTAAAATAAAGGTTGCTAACAATCTTGAGTTTAGGCTTAATTACAAGGATTAATATTTTTGGACAGGCCGGCAAACAAACGGTCGATACGGGCCGCCACGTCGGTTCCTATTTTGACAGGCCCTGTCCATATAGCAACTCTCTAATTACAGAGCACATGTTGAACCGTCTAATATAAATATTTAAGTCCAAAATAACACACTCCCTCACATACAAGCTGATTATCGGTCCAGGTTTTCAGTAATCTTGAAAGAGAAAAAAAAAAAGTCTTTGCACTACAAAAATTTATTCTCTCAGTTACTTGAGTTGTTGCTTTGTGATGTTTTCATCTGTGTCAATGACAAACATTGTGATGAAATTGAGCGAAATAAAACAAAAAACTATATCCTTACTTTTTTACGATGTCCAGTGGCAGCCACCCCAATTGTTATGGATGAAGCTTTAATCCCAATTACGAGAGCAATACTAAGCGAGATAAAATTCGAAAATCGCAGTGCAAGCAAAAATATGTGTACTGGTTTAACCTGAATGTGATAGTTACGTTTACTTGCAGTTGTGGATATGCATAAATATATATTAATAATTTAGAAATTATGGTTTTGACAATATCGAATCAGAACCATTCCATTTGGTTCAATAATTACAAATGGATTATTTTCAAACTAAATCGTTTAAATTAGTTTATTGAAAATTTCAAATCAAATCGAACTAATTTTTATGGTTCGATTGATTTCATACTATATACATAAAATTAACACTTTTCAGACACATTACGACATCAATATTACATTGCAAAAAAAACATAAATATACAAGCATTAAACTTAGAATTAGCATTTGAAAAATAAAATTTACATAAACTCTCATACTTTACCATTCTTACCATGTCAAAGATGTAGGGCCAAATTCTAGCAATTACCAAGGTAAACCGGGCTCAATTTCGCCAAATATATCGACATCACCACCGGTTGAGACAACGCCCAAAGACCACTGCCTATATTCTCACTTCCGGTTGCTACAATATACTCACAAAGAGTTGGCCAAGATGAAGAGCAATAATATGCCCACAAGAAACCACAAAGGTCATAAGAAGAGGAGAAGCCGAGAAGCAAAGTCACAGAGAGAGATGGATTATTCTTCATAGTGGAGGCGGAGAAAGGGCAGAGAATATAAGCCAAGCAAGTGACCAAAAATGGTAAGTTAGGTTAGGTTTATTTTGTGGACCAAACAAGGCTCGACTCAAAGTAATGGGCTCCAAATTAATACCATAGCCCTCCAAGGAAGTGGGACGAACCATGAGCAACACTATTAACAATAAGTTGCTTCTAACGGTCCATAGGAATGTGGGTTGAATTGTCTCAATAATTTTGTCGACATATAAATCAATCATATGGTCAAGGCCGATTGATAATAGATAAAACTGGGGTTACATCATAGCCCCGGGGGTTGTTTGATAACAAATTGCCTAACAACCTCTACCTTTGTATCAAAAGACCTACAAAAGAGAATGTCTCCTATTAGTGACACTTCTAATAGAAAATCAATAAACTTGGAAATCATTTACCTGTACCAATGTTTAGAAGTTCCTTACAACTTCTAAACTTTGCTAATAGCAGTACCTTCGTCCCCATATCAGAAGGGTTGTAGTGGGTGTGGACCTTTTCAAGTCTTACCACCTCTTGAGATACTATATCTCTAATAAAGTGAAGTATAATATCAATGTGTTTAGTGTGCTCGTGAAAAATGGGGTTCTTGCATAAATGTATAGATGACTGACTATCAGAATACACTACAACATAATCATTCAAGACACATAGTTTATGAAGAAGGCCTCTAAACCATAGAGCTTTTTTAATAGCTTTAGTGGTAGCAATATATTCTGATTTTGTAGTGGATAGTGCAACAATATATTGTAACTGTGATTTTCAACTAATACGTGAATTAGATAAGGTAAACACAGAAGACGAAGTGGATTTCCTACCTTTCCTATTTCCCTCGTAATCAACATCTACAAAACCCTTTAATTTTATACATTCTTTATTAGCACTAAACTTTAAACTTACGTCACTTGTACTCTTCAAGTACTTTAATAGCCCCTTTAGCACTTCCTAATGTGCAGGGCCGGATTAGTCATATATCTATTGAGAGTACTAACAACAAAACCCAAATCCGGTCTAGTGCAAACCAAAAACAAAACGGAATTTTACCTATCTCTTTCGATTTCAATACCTAAGATTCTCTTAGCCTTACCTAGGTCTTTCATGACAAATTCACCACTTGGCTTTGCTTTTATGTTATTTATCCACTTAGAAGATAATCCAATCAAAAGCATATCGTCCACATAGAGCAACAAAAACAGATAATTATCATCAGTCTCATTGTGTTGAAAATACAAGCAGTGATCAAATTTATTTTTTTGGAACCCTATAGTGACTAGTGAGTACAAAGGAATCAAACCTCTTGTACAACTGTCTAGGAGATTGTTTTAATCCATACAAGGATCTTCTCAGAAAATACACATAATCAAGTTTTGACTTATCCTTAAAACCTCTTGGTTGATTCATGAAGATTTGTTCATCAAGCTCACCATGTAAAAAAGCAGTTTTTACATCAAGTTGTTCAAATTCCCAGTCAAAGTGTGCAACCAATGCAAGCATGACCCTAATAGTGGTGTACTTAACAACTGGTGAGAAAATCTCATTATAATCAATGCCCTCCTTCTGTGTGTAGCCTTTAGCTACTAATCTAGCTTTAAACCTTAGGGGTTCCGAGCTACTAGTACCTTCCTTAACCTTAAAGATCAATTTGCAATCAACAATCGATTTGATCTTAGGCCTAGGTACTAGCTCCGAAGTATGATTCTTTTCTAGAGAACTCATCTCTTCTTTCATTGCCTTAAGTCATTCATTAGATTGATCACTGCCTATTGCCTCTTCAAAGGTCTTTGGCTCTTTATCAGCTAGTTCTTCATAACTAGCCTGGGCGAAAGCTAATTCAGATTCAAAATTGAACCTTCTAGGTTCTCTCGTTAGTCTCCTCTCTCTATCCCTAACTAAGTTATAATTAGCTAAATGATTTTCTTCCTCATATTACTCTTCTATCACTATTTCTTTACTATTCTCCACCTCGGGTTCTTGAGCTTGAGTCTCTACCTCATAAGAAGTAGTAGGGGTAGGTGTACTGAGCTTTCCTAACTCCACCTTAAACTGGTCTCTCTATTCACCTGGTTCAGCTTCACTCTCAGGTTTAGTTTTCTTTTTAATACACGACATCTCATTCTCGTTAAACGTGACATCCATACTTATGATGATCTTAACCCCCTTTTTGGCTTCTATCCCATAATCTATAACCCTTAACACCCTCGGGGTATTCTAGAAAGACACTTTCTAGCTTTAGGTTCTTACTTACCCTCACTTTAATGAGAAAAAGCTGTACAGCCAAAAGTTCTAAGCATCGAGTAATCACTCAGTTTACCTGACCATCTCTCATGCGGAGTGTCACCATTTAGTGCAGCAGAAGGAGTCGGGTTAATCAAATAACAAGCAGTCATAACAGCCTCACCCCAAAATGACTTCGGAACACCAAAACTTTTCATCATGCAACGTACTTTATCAAGTATGGCCCTATTCATCCTTTCTGCTACCCCATTTTGCTGAGGAGTGTAAGAAACGATCTTATGTCAAGTTATGCCGCTTTCTTTACACATACTATCAAATTCCTTATTGCAGAATCTAGATCGTTATCTGTCTTTAAAAATTTGATTTTCTTGCCAGTTTGGTTTTCCACTTGTCTCTTCCAATTGTTAAAACTATTAAAGGTCTTAAATTTATCCTTCAAAAGATAGACCCACACTTTCCTAGTGCAGTCATCGATAATAGGCAGGAAATACCTATTCCCACCCGATATGGGATTACTAGTAGGACCCCACAGATCAGAGTGGACATATTCGAGCATGCCTTTAGCTCTATTAACACTCGTGGAGAAAGAAGTTTTATGATACTTATCAAGTATACAATGATCACAAAATGACAAATCTGACACACAGTCATTACCAAAAGCACATTTTTCGTTAAGTAGCTTAAGTCCCTTGACCCCTATATGAGCAAGTCTATTATGCCATGTGTGTGTGTGATCAATCTTAGCAGAGGGGATAGAGGGGTTCACACCTCTAATCACTTCCCCAGTAGTAATATATATATTGTTTTTCTTAATTTTCTTAATGGAAAATAAATCACCCTTGATCATTTTTAGCATATCATTTCCAATTTTACCAATAAATTCATCATTTTCAAGTCTCCCTACTGAAATCAGATTCCTAGACAACTCATGAATATATCTAACATCCTTTAACGTATACACAAAATCTATGTCAAATTTTACGTTTATATTATCAATTCCAGCAATAGTATAGATAAAGTTATCACACAGCACAACATGCCCAACATTAGATTCATGCAATTTATAAAATCAATTCTTTTTAGACGTCACATAAAAAGATGCACCAGAGTCAAGTATTCACTCATGCATGTGGGAATTAGCAGTTAGATTTAATTTAGCAGTATATGCAATGGGATTTGTAATCATATAGACCTTACCACCATTTATATCGAAAGTAGATGCTAATACATTGACCTCATCTCTCTCCTTAACCTTTAGCTTACCCTTCTCCTTATAACAATCCTTTATAAAATGACATGTGTTTCCACAACCATAGCATTTTCTCGCCTTAGTCCTGGATTTTGATCTAGACATACCTTTGCTCTTCTTTTTCCATCCATTATCACTTGACTCGCCACTAGTTTGATATCCATCATGACTATTTTGCCTAAATTGAGTTCTACCCCGCATCATATGTACCTCATCGTTCCTCTTATCGTGTTTTTCAGCCCTAATTTCAATTTCTTTACTTCTAAGGGAATCCATGACAATTTCAGGTGTCAACGTGTCTCTACCATATTTAATGGCGTTCTTAACTTCCTTATAGGAATCAGGAATCGTATTGAGCAAACTTATAGTCTTTTAAGTTTCGAACACAGTCTCATCACAATTAACTATATCTTGCACCAATTTATTAAACACGTCTAAATTGTCATCAAGATCATTTGAATGATCCATTTTAAAATTGAAAAAAATTTTGAGCAAGTAAAGTTTATTCGGTGTAGACTTAAGCAAATATAAGTCTTCTAATTTTTTTCAAAGTTCTTTAGTGATTTTTAGTTTATCCACCTTTCTTAAAATGACGTCAGACAAGTGTAAAATAATTGAGATATAAGCAAGCTCATCGGCTTCTTCTCTTTGTTCTTGTGAAAAATCAGTTGAAAAATTGCCTTCAATGGTATTTGAAACTTTTTATTGGACTAAAATGCCCTTTATTTTTTGTTGCCAAAATTGCAAAGTCACCCTTTCCATTAAAAATCATCAAATCAAAGTTGTGAGTTGTCATCTTTACACAACGGTCAGAGAATGCACAAACCACAATCAAACCACACAAAGTAGTCCTAGGATCACAGATAGTATACATCGTTCTAGATTCTCAGGGTTTCGTAAGACTCTCGATCCTAGATCAAGGGAATGTTCGAACAGGTAAGGTCACGGTATTTCTAACAGAATAAGTAAGCATCGGAAGTAACAATGTAACAAATGATACATCTAGCAGATGACTAGTTTTACAGTAATTAGATCACTAATAATTACAAAACTGATTTTAACCCAAAAGCAAATACTCAATCAAAACAATCAGGAGCACGTAACCCTAATTCTAGCACAAGCAATGGTTGCCAAGCAATGACAATCCCCAACCTATTATCACCCCACACGGTGACGTGCTAATGCTGAAATTAACGGGTTAAGCCAATTTACCAGATTGAACGTGTCTGAGTTCGTATAATTGAGAGAGATACAATTATATTGCTTTAGGGCTGCGATTTTGGCCTAAAGTAATTCAGTAGATATATGGCAATTTCAATCGTCGATCCACCAGGGGCAAAATTGTCCAACTTTTTCAGTGTAACTTGAAGCAGAAAATGAACAGTGTCAGTGCGTTCAGTGGATTGAAATGAGCAAACTGCCCAAAGAAAGTTCGTCGGAAAACGTCGCCACACGCCATCATCAGAGAGCCACACGCCGCTGCTGGAGTCCACCGTCGCCACCACAAGCTCCACTGGAAGGAGCGCCTCTACCTACTGGTTCTGGGTGTGGGTCAATTTTGCCGGAAAGTTTGTGGTTTGGCCGAAATTCGCGATTGCAGGGTTGGCTCCCCTATTGAAAGCGCGAACCCGTTGCCGTTTTTGGTGGATTTCTGGCTGGAGAAGGTGACCCACGCTCTGATACTAGTTGTAGGGTCGAATTCCAGCAATTACCAAGGTAAACTGGGCTTAGTTTCGCCAAATACATCGACACCACCACCGGTTGAGACAATGCCCAAAGACCATCGCCTATATTCCCACTTCCGGTTGCTACAATATACTCACAAAGAGTTGGCCAAAATGAAGAACAATAATATGCCCACAAGAAACCACAAAGGTCATAAGAAGAGGAGAAGCCGAGAAGCAAAGTCACAGAGAGAGAGATGGATTATTCTTCATAGTGGAGGCGGAGAAAGGGCGGAGAATATAAGCCAAGCAAGTGACCAAAAATGGTAAGTTAGGTTAGGTTTATTTTGTGGACCAAACAAGGCTCGACTCAAAGTAATGGGCTTCAAATTAATATCATAGCCCTCCAAGGAAGTGGAACGAACCATGAACAACACTATTAAAAATAAGTTGCTTCTAACGGTCCATAGGGATGTGGGTTAAGTTGTCTCAATAATTGTGTCGACATATAAATCAATCATATGGTTAAGGCCGATTAATAATAGATAAAACTAGGGTTACATCATAGCCCCTCCGGGGTTGTTTGACAACAAATTGTCTAACAAAAAACAATAAAGATACGATAAAGAATCAACCGTATACATGATTATATCATATATTTAAACTAAAAAGATACCTCACACGAGTTCTATGACAAGTAAATTCCTATAATATATAGTCTATCCATCTTGTTTTTATTATGTCAATGGTTTGATTGGACTATAAATGATTTTTAATTATTGAAACTTAAACCAAAACGTTGATGGTTCACATGAACCAAAACTAACATTTAACGCAATCGTTTAGGTTTTGCAGTTTGCTTTTTTGGACAGGGAATTGGACAGAAATAGGGGGGAGATTGCGGGTCCAAAATCCCTGTCAGCCTAGCAGCTTTCTTTTATCTAACAGATAAGATGTGTACTCTTCCATTTTTGAAAAGCAGCTGCCTGCAGGTCGGAAGAGGTTGCTGTATTTGTAAACATGGCCGCTCAATTTGATTGCAACTAAATGAACAATTAATTAATTATTGAACTTAAATTTTATTTCAAGTTGGAGATACTTTAAATAGTTTGACTCCTTTAATATTACATTAGAATACATGTCAGATTCATTTTTTATATTAATTCTTCAATATATCCCTTCAATGATTAAATTTATTTTTTATTGTACACTTGTACAATTTTATAAATTGATAAGTGGCAAGTTTTAAAGGATTGCCACTTGACCATGGCCACTTGGGCCATGTAGCAAAACCCAGTCTTAAATCTAAACCCTCAACGTGCAGCAAAACCCAGTCTTAATTCCAAAATAATTTTACACTTCCACAATTTTGACCTGACCTGGTCTAATGGTCCTGGAAGTTGACAAAAAAACGTGTTGACGAGTTAATCCATGCATAAATCTTATTCTCTTCAGCTCTTCTATAAATTTCTGCTTATTCTTATGTTCCTTCACATTTCCAATTTTCAATCACTTGAATTACTCATCAACTTCCACTAACTCACAAGCATTTTGAATCTGCCTCAATCAAAAATGGCTCATGCTGCAGTTGTTTCGCTTATTCATACTCTCGATGAGCAAGTCATGCTGCATAGTGATCAACTTCAAACTCTTCTCAGTAAGAAAGAAACCAAATCTTTCCATGAAAATCTTGGTTTCTTGAGAGATTTTCTTGAACATTCTTCACAAATAGGCAATGAAGCAATCAACATTTTTGAACCAAAAATCAGAAATGCAGCTCATGCAGCACAGCATACCATTGAATCTCACCTCTCAAATTATTCATTATTATCTCAATGTTATAGTGAAAATTTGTCTTTATGGCAAAAACTCCCTGGAGAGAAGTATCCTATTGTGGATAAGCATTATCAACTCTTGCACAAATTAATACAAGAAATTGATTCCATCACGAAAGAGGCGATGAAGATTAAGAAGACATTAGAACATTCGCAGTCTCGAAAATTTCTGCGAGGTTGCCTCTCGAAACTTGCTTCCAAAGCCAGATTGTTGTGCTAGGATCCAATAATGAGTTGACACATATAAATGACCGGATGACAAGTGACTCGTCAAAGCTCAACGTTGTCATGATTCATGGGATGGACGGATGTGGTAAGACTACTCTAGCTGAAAATGTTTTCAACGATCCACTTACTGAATATCACTTTCCAATTCGTGCATGGATAACTGTTTCTCAAGAATATAGTGAGCGAGAAATCTTGATTCGTCTCTTAGATTCGATAAAACAACTTGATGATAGTATGCGTGAAGCAAGAGAAGAACAATTATCCGAGCATTTGTACAAAAGCTTAAAGGGTCGCAAGTACCTTATTGTAATGGATAACGTACGAGATACTAAGGTCTGGGATTTAGTATGGAGATTACTACCAAAAGACGATGAAGGAAGTCGAGTCCTATTAACTACTTCAAAGCCAAGTGTAGTTGATTACGTCAAAGCCAACGTCAGAATTCAAAAGTCTATTTTAGGTACTTATGGTCATGCTATGACCTTGGCTAATATAATTGCAATTGGGATCATTTTGTTATAGTTGCATGATTGTATTTACACGCTCTTGGGTTTTATTAGGAATAGTGGCGTTAAGTCTACATCCATTGCTGTATTGTGAAATATGTTATTGAAATATAAATAAATATGGTTTATTTATTTGTTATCCACCATTTGTTTTTATTTTTTGTATTAGATATCTTTGTTGGATTTTTATTATTATTTTTTTTTATAGATGATTGTAAATCCCGAAAGGTAAGACCCACTTAGACCCCTCCTTGTCAATATAATTGTATGGATTTTGCTACTTTGACAGAAAATTTGTAGCAGATGCAGTGACATAATCCTAATTGGTAATAGATGATTTGATGAGAAAGTTGACTATACTTAAAAAAATTTAATGATGAGATGTCACGTGGTATTATGTCAAGGATTATGTTAATCATTATATTACTATAGTATGATTGATACTTGAATGGTGACAATGTCAAATTCCACATTAGGCTTTAAAATAAAAGGTCTAAAAATCTTTATCTTGAGCTGAATGTTGTTTTGCCAAAAAAAAAAAAAAAAAAAAAAAGGAAAAAAAAATGAAAAAAAGAAAGAAGGATAGGGCACACCTAGACCATAAGTATAAATTAGCATATAAACTTAAATGGTCAATAAGCTAGTTGGGTTAAAAGAAAATTTGTAGACAAAATTTATGGGTGTCTCCTATTTTGACATGGGTTTCTTTTTTCTTAGTCTTACTCCAAACCTCAAGAGGAAGAATTAATTTCAAGATGTAAAAATCAAGCTAGAAAAAATAATTGGCAAGGGAATAGGCAATTAAAAATAAAGTCAAAATTTGAAGCATAGAGTGACAAGCTACTATTCAACGTTAATCTGAAAATTTCAATTAGCAATACCCTACCCGGAAAATGGAGTTGGGTCAAAGTTTTTTTTAAGAAAAGTCAATGGTTTTTGATTTTTTACCGTGCCGATCATGAACCACACTAATAGAGAGATCAAAACTTGATTGATGATCAAGTCTTGGATTTTCCTATTAAACGGCTAGGCCTATCCGAGTAAAATATAACACTCAAAGAATAATGTTATTTATCATTAGTGGTTTAATCAATAAATAGGAGGCCATGAACACCTACACCGGTAACTACTATCACGCCAAAATCGATTAGAATGGAGAAGACTCAATATAAAAACAAAGTACTGCACTGATTGAGAATTATTCTGGAATAAAGGTTGGAAACAATCCTGAGTTGAGGCTTAATTACAAGGATTAATCTTTTTGGACAGGCCAGCAAACAAACGGTCAATACGAGGTCGCCACAAACGGTCAATACGAGGTCGCCACGTCGGTTCCTATTTGGACAGGCCTAATTACAGAGCTCATGTTGAACCGCCTAATATAAATATTTAAGTCGAAACTAACACACTCCCTCACATACAGGCTGATTATCTGTCCAGATTTTCAGTAATCTCAAAAAAAAAAAAAAAAAAAAAAAAAAAAAAAAAAAAAAAAAAATCTTTT